TGGGCATGGTGGCACACACCTGTATATACCAGCATCTGGGAGGCAGCGGCAGGGGGGTCTCTGTGAGTTAGAGGCCAGCCTGGTCTACAAAGTGACTCCAGGACAGCTCAGGCTACCCAGAGAAACTCTGTCTGAAAAAACCAAACCAAAACCAAACAAGAAAAAGAAAGAAAAAGCACATTTTAGATTTCTCTGTTTTGCAATGTGACTTTGCTTTTTTTATGCACAACACCATACCCAATAATTAGTCATTAAACAGTTCATAAAATTACCACCTGTGGAGCACTTAGAAAGTTACTCTAAAACACCCAATGGAAATCAATTCACTTTTATTAATACAATAATTATTTTGTAGCTCTCCAGCCAGTATCCATGATAGTTCATGTGTAAAGCTATAATTTGAAGAGGAGATAAGTCTGAAGCAATATAAAAAAAAAAATCTAAAAATTTTTTCCGTATCTAGTTGCACTCTTCCTGGTATTCTCTGTGGTCAGCAGCACAGTTTAAGATTTATTTACTTTTATTTTACATGTATGGGTCTTTACCATGCATGTATATATGTGCACCATGGAGGCCAGAGGATGAAGACAGTGTCTGATCCCCTGGAACTAGAGTTATAGATGGTTGTGAGCCACCATGTGGGTGCTGGGAATTGAACCCAAGTCCTCTGCGAGAGCAGCTCATGCTCATAACCACTGAGCCATCTCCCATCTCCCATCTCTCCAGCTCCAGGCATCCCATTAGGGATACAAACTTACAAAGCATATCTGTGTTCTGAGGCACTTGAGTGCACAAATCAATGATTTCAAAAAGCATGCTGTGGAAGCCACCCCTCGAATCTCATAAACCTGTGTTCCAGACAACCAGAGTCCCATCACTGCCTTGCTAGATGACTTCAGCCTGAAGCAGTGCAGTACTATGAGAAGCTGTTCCACTACTGCCCTATAAAATATGACGTAGGTTCAAAAATATACATGGATTTTTTTTTTTAATACTCTGTCTATGACAACAGAAGTACCTTGTCTTGGAAAGAGCTTTTGAGTATACCCACCTTCATCTCTGGGCAGTGGGCAAAACAGGCTTCAGAACTCTGAGAATGATACAGAGGCTCTCACAGTTGAAAAGATCCCCAGAGTTCTTTGACTCCCCCCTGAGGAGGGAGCAGCCTTGCAAACCCACAGAGGAGGAAGACAATGCAGCCAGTCCTGACGAGACTTGATAGGCCAGGGTCAGATGGAAGGGGAGGAGGACCTCCCCTATCAGTGGACTTGGAGAGGGGAATGGGAGGAGATGAGGGAGGGACGGTGGGACTAGGAGGAGATGGGGGAGGGGGCTACAGCTGGGATACAAAGTGAATAAACTGTAATTAATATAAAAAATAAAAATTTAATTAAAATAAAAAAAATATTTCAGAGCGATAGTGACACTTGGCAGCTTCATTCACAATCTGATCAAAGTCAGGGAAAGTGTCATCTGCAAACTCCATTTCAGCAATGGCAGCAGCACCAGTGAACAATTCTAGTTCCAAACCCTTGTTCACACATGGACTATTAAACCAGTTTCCATATTTATCTCATAAATAAATGAATAGTACATTGAAGGACTAAAGCCAACATCCTTAACAACTATTATTGCAGTAGGATCTTTGGCCAATGAGTTATCCAAGGCCTTTGTCATTGAATAAAAGGTTTATTTTCTGAGTCTGCTTATATAGTAGGGTCTTTGGGTATTGAAACATAAACATAAACACACATACACACACACACACACACACACACACACACACACACAGAGTTTGTACCACCACACACAGAGGCACACACAGAGTTTATAATTTCTAAGTAAATATCTGTCTAGTTAAATTATTCTAAATTATGTGAAATTACTCTGTAATTTGCTAGGAAGATAGTATCTAATCATTCTTATTCTTTTTCTAAAATGAATTAATAATGTTAATCCAAATTCTAATAGTATCCTCATTGCAAACACAAATTATGTTACTATCTTCCTTCTGTTAGAGACAGTTAGGACACATTTTCTTTGACGACTTGGAGGATCAAGTATGTTGACTATGGTAGTTAGGGTCTTTTTTTTTTTTTAATCCATGAAATTGATCGCTCTCTTAATATCCTATAGTATTTCACATCTTTCTGTTTGCTGTGGTTTTGATATACTAACCCGGACTTTGCACAAGGGGCAGATGTTAATCTTATATGAAATAAAGTTATTAAGTGTTCAATATGCATTATATGAATGTTTGTGCTTCTAACTACACTATTGCTTTTGTTTTGCCTTAAAAGAGAAACTGACAGAAACATGTCACTGAGTTAAAAAGCAGACGTATGTCATTAAAAATTTAAGGTTATATAATAATATTTATTACAAAATTACATCCTCAGTATTTGGTTGAAGATATTTTACAAGTTAGAGAAAACCATCGAAACCAATTCTGGGCTACAGATGTTACTTAGTTGGAAGAATGGCTACCTACCATGAGCCAAGCCTTGTGCACATTCCTGTGAACCTAGCTCTCTACAGGTAGAGGCAGGAGGATCAGGAGTTCAAGGTGATATTCAGCTACATAGCAAGTTCAGGGTGAACCTGGACTACATGAGACCCTGGCTTTATAACAAACAAATAATAACAACACACACACAAAGCAACAACAACAACAAAAATAGAGGTAAGGGGAAGTGTCTCAGTTCTTGCCCTGCAAGCATGCAAACTAGACTTTAGGTCCTGCACACCCACATTAAAAAGCTGGGTTTGGTGGCCTGCCTTAGTGTTTAGGAGGTAGAGACAGGAGAATCCTAGGACAAGCAGGGTAGCTTGGCAAGCTGAATTACCAGCTTCGGTTCAGTGAGAAGCCTACCTCACTAAACAAAGTAGAGAGTGGTCAAGGAAGACACCCAACACTAACCTCTGGGCTCCATGTACATGTGCATACATGTACAGCGCAACTGCACATGAACTCATATACACATTTACACATTCACACTATGTACAAGAAAGCTTTATTTTTTAGTTTCAGGTTGAGTGCACAAAACCAGGCATGGTGACACATGCCTTTAACACCGACATTTGAGAAGTAGAAGCAGGAGGATAAGTTTGAAGGAATTCTCAATAAGAAGCTCATGGCTAGTCTGAGATATGTGAGATGCTGCCTCAAAGTGTAATCAATCAATCAATCAATCAATCAATCAATAGAATGGATAACACTAAAACTCTGCTAATAAGAAGTCTAATTTGTCCTCTGTTTCTATAGGATAAGATGATAGAACTGTCTAGTGTCTAGAGACCTTTTCTATCAGACCAGCATTTCCAGGAGGTTTTTCCTGAAAATTGATATCATTTACATAAGACAGTCTTCGGAGTTTTTGGTGGCTAATGACAAGGCTTTGCTCTAGCAGCTTCAGCCCAATACATCTTCTCCTTTGCTGACATAAATGTTTGTATACCCCAGATGGTGTATGACAATCTCGTCACTGCTATATTGGTCCTACTGCTTTTGAAATTCACTCCTGTGAGAATAACAAGACTAAGAAAAACTGTTGCTATCTACCTGTGCAGCTGGGGGGAAAGCAGACACTTGTGCTGAGAATTGGTTCTCATTTTAACAGAATCAATTAAAAATGGAAGAGTTTTATTCTGTTTCTCCTCTCTCTGAGTAAGCTTTGTAAATGTCATACATTGCCCTTCTAAAATCTTGTTTTCTTTCTTGCTTTTTAGTCAATTGGAAATGCTAAGACAACCAGGAATGACAATAGCAGCCGGTTTGGGAAATACATTGAAATTGGTTTTGATAAGAGATATCGAATCATCGGTGCCAATATGAGAACTTACCTTTTAGAGAAATCCAGAGTGGTGTTCCAGGTAAGCTGGATATGCATACAACACATTCAAATACTTGTGTTGGATTTTTGGATTACTACATAATTACTGTTAAGTGAAACTTTCTTGTGGAGATGAACAACTACTCTAGAGAGGGCACCAAGGACAGAATGAAATAACTATTTTATGGAAATACAGTTTGATGAACAACTGAGCTTATTAGGCTTATTTACATAGCATGGTTGGCTCCAAAGCAGCTCTATCACCATGAAATCCCAAACTATCATGGATGACAACCTCATGGAAGCTGCATCACAGAGCCTCTCTTTCAGCTAACCTTCTATATTTTATGTATTCTAGCATCTCCCCAGATCATTGGCACTGGGGGAGGATGGAGTGAAATTAATGGCTGCAATCCCAGCTGAAGCTCCTGTGACCCAAGCTTCCCTCTGACTACTAGAGTGTATCACAGCTTCATCACCATTCCTTTACACCTACCTACTTGTTTGGGGTTCTGTTCAATTAGTGTCCATGTCTACGAGAGCCAACATAATCTCTTCTCAAAAATGATGACCATTTTATGCCCATGGAAAAAGCCACACTATCACAATTATAAAGCCCTTGCTTGCTAACATAATATACTTTATTTCTTTATGCTCATGAGTATATTCTTACTTGAAATGAAACATGTAAAATGATGCCTGTCAGAGGCAGGGGACTGCCTCTTTAAACTAGTAGTCCTTCAGGGTGGGCACTGATTTAGGTTTAATGTTTCATATTTGTTAACTTTTTAAGTTACTGAATAAAATAATGGATTTGATTATGACATCCATGTACATACATATAATTGTTCCTAGCGCCATACCACTCTTCTACTCTCTGCTGTCCTTCCTTTCTCTTGCTGCTCTATTTTCTTTCTCAGGGTCTTCCTACTTTTATTCATATGTATATGTGAATGCATAGCTATCTAAATATATCTTAAAGCTAGAGTGTGCGTGAGAAAGAAAACATGTTTTGTCTTTCTCCATTCATGACCTCTTGTTCTCTTCCATACCCTGCTTTTAGACATCATTTCCCATCATAGTCTCTATTTTACTTTCATGTTGTATGTTCATGTTTTGTGTGTGTTATGCATTTATTAATACTTAAACTTAGATTCTGCATATAAAGAAAAGGGTGCAGTATTTGTCTTTCTAATTCTGATGTAGTGGTTTTGACTTTTTCTTATAGATGCTTGTTGAAAAGCTTAGTTAGGTAGAGGTGGAATTTATTCATTGTCTCTTATATTTCCCAATTGATACAGAAAGCATTGATCTATAGCTTTAAAGAGTTATAATTTGAACATAACTCAAGAAAAATGAAATATTCCTGTCCTCTTTCCTTCTTTTTGATTCTTAGGATCTGACATTATTTGGGTAGAATAGTAATATTTCCAGGAAAATTGCAAGGGGGGGCTTTTTGAGTTCTTAGTTTTATTAAAGTACTTTAAAATGGATATAGAGGCTTGAGGATAATTTTATTAAAGTTTGAAAGTAAAACAACAATAGAGGAAAGCTCAGAATCCCAGCAACCATCAGGAAGAGGAAAGACAGAGAAAAGTCAGGCCTTTTAAGCTAAGCATGGAGGTCAAAGAAACAGAAAAGGCCTAGAACATCAAGAAACACATGCTTAGGAGTGTTGAGCCTCAGATCTGAGTTCAGAGATACCCAATTCTAGGTTCTTTTACCCTAAAGCAAAGGATTGCAAAGGGACATGGTTAGAAATAGAAACAGACAGCTCATTAAGAAAGGAAAAGCATCTGAGGAGTGGAAGTGAGCTAATGAGCTGAGTAAAGAGCCCAAGGACTGGGCCATGTTGCCCCAGTCCATTATGGAATATTTACATAATGCCAGTCCCACGTTTGAATAGGCAGGGCTTTTTGTGAGATGTTCTTAGAAGACACCCAGTGAGGAAGGGCTTCCGTCCCTTTCTTGCAGACTGGCATTCCTCCTGCTATCCCTGGTGTTTTAGCCCTGCTCTCTTCTGCCACAGAGCTAAAAGAAAGTCTTTATAACCTGGCTGTAAACTGCCATCAAAACCACAGTTGAATATTTGTGTAGGATTTTTGTTGCTACTTAAACTGTTGTTTCTTTCTGAGGGAAAGGGAGGCGCGTTATAAATCACAGCACTAGCGGGTGCACATTCACACATTGTAGGCACAATAGGGAATGTAGATTATCGTCAGAAAATGTCAGGATGGTGACCCACTGCACAACTTATATTGAGACCCAGAGTGTCGATGGATCATTGCTGGATACCGGTTCATTAAAATTAAAATACTCCATATGGCAGGGTCCAGTCTTCTGAAGCCTAAGGTTGTTGTGCCTTTAAAACTATCTTAGCACATACCAAGAGTCATGAGTTGGGATGGCCAGGCACCCCGGCTTTGAGTTTGGGATTGCACCTGATTAAATATTTAATCTTAAATAAATTATACTTGATATGCATACGCTTAAAACGTAGTATTTGATATGTATAGTAAGGCAGTAACCTCCCTCCACTATTACTCTAGTATTTAAGTTACAAACAGTAGTACTATTCACACATTAACACTTGCATAGGATGTTTTAAAAAATTGTCCATCAGTGAGAAGAAAGAATGAGTGAAACATAAATGAATCAAGTCCAGATAGAAATGTGTAGGAAGGTGGGACTGGAGAGCTAGCTCAGAGGTTAAGAGAGGACCTGAGTTCAGGTACCAGTGTCTATTGATGACTAATAACTGTCTGTAACTCCAGTCCCAGGGGATTTAACACCCTCTTCTGGCTTCTACATACACTACACAATTGTGGTACACAGATAAACATTCAAGAACACACATAATGTAAAAATTATACATAATGTATAAATATATAAATAGATATACATAATGTAAAAATTAATCTTTGAAAAAAAGAAATTTGTAGGACTTTGAGCAAAGGTAACCTAGATAGGAAACTGGCCTTGTTTATAATGTTGACCAATGGCTAGGACTGCCTAATGAAGAATGGAAAGGCTTACTCCTCTCTGCAGGTGTGATGTGAAGTCTAGCCCCTCCCTGTCTCCCCCAGTATAGAACAGTGAGAATGTTTGTTATATCGAATGACTCACAGTCACAATAAGTAGGCTGGGTATTGGCCGTCCTGTACAAAGGTGACAGGACTGTTTCTGCAGACCCACCTGCTTTTCCAGTCTCTGTGTGCTGAGCCACCTGATCTTTTACCTCCTCGTGCTTGGGATCATTGCTGTGTTTGCTCAGTGTCCCGTGCCCCTGCAGCAGGCTTCAAGACTTCCCTTAACCTTATTAACACTAATCTTTATCCAGATGCAAAATCTAAAAGTACGTTGATTGGATTTTAGTATTCAGCTTCATATGTACAATAACTTTTTCTACTCTGTGGAAAAAGACTAAGGAAATACTAAGAATTTACCTTAGATGATAAGTTATTATCCTTTATTTTATCAAATTTATTTTTATAAGAAAATATATAATACATATTATGTAATACAAAGTATATAGAGAGTACATTTATGTATTTATTATAGTCACCAGAGATCATCTCTAAAATATGGCAAAAATAAGATTAATTTCTTTTAGTCACAGTAGTAGGAGTACCATGAATACAGAAGTATTGATAGAAAATGGTGGTGAGGCTTACAATAAAGAAATTATTTTAGCCTTCTCAGAATCATTGGTGTCCAATGATTGTGGCCATCTATCAGCCGGTCACTGACTCAGAAAGCATTACTAAGCCAGGCACAGCAGTGCAGGCCTCTCAGGAGGCTGGCTCAGGTGACGCATAGGTTCAAGGCCTGGCTGATCTACAGAGCAGTTCAGAGCCAGGCAGGATGTTAAGACTGCCTCAAAATAAAAAGTCCAGACGGATCTGAGTGATGGTGCAGTGGTCGGGAACACTGGCCTAGCGAGTCCGAGGCCTTGAGTTTAGTCCGTAATATCCAAAACCTAAAACTCTTGCTAGCTGATATTTCATACTGAATATGACTAATACATTTATACTTTTTTTTTTTCAAGAGGCAGAGTCTTACTGTTTTACCTATCTGGCTTCAAGTCTCAAGTCTCAAGCCATCCTCCTACCTTGTAAATATGCTATAAGCCATAAAGTTTAATTATTTAAATCAGCAATTTAAATAATTTGATAAATTTAAATGGAAAATTTGGAGATTTATTGAAATAATAAAATATGAAAATTATTTACTGTAATAGGTTTTCCTGAGTTTTATATTAAAATGCTACAATTGAAAACTCTTCTCATTTCAAAGGCAGAAGAGGAGAGAAACTACCATATCTTCTATCAACTCTGTGCTTCAGCAAAGTTACCTGAGTTTAAAATGCTGCGATTAGGTATGGATTTGGCACTAGGTTTATTGTATTGGTGTGTTTTTCTGTTACATTTTGAGTTCTCCAGCTTGTCAAGAAATATTACTTTGTACTAAAATATTTATGAATAAAATGATTCTTGAAGGTCTGCAGCTGGCTTTAGGATCCCCATGGGTGTGGGTGACTGGCTCTGTCAGGTTCAGGATTGACCTTGTGGCAACTGATTAAGGTAGGCAAGGTAGATGGGCTCAGCTTTCTAGCCGCTGCTGTTTTGTTTTGTTTTTAGACAGGGTTTCTCTGTGTAGCCTTGGCTGTCCTGGAACTAGCCCTGTAGGCCTCGAACTCACTGATATCAGCCTTCCTCCGCCTCCCAAGTGCTGAGATTAAAGCCGTGTGTCACCACCACCTGCCTCACCTCTCTGCTTTTATATATGTTTGAAAACTGCTTTGATGAGAGAAGAAAGCAGTTTGTGTGGAATTAAACCTGAAGAAAATTATCATTTACCTATTTCACCAATTAAGATAAAGTCTTGCATCTTATATGGATGTGAGTTTAAAATGGACAGACTGCAAAGCCTAGTTATACCAGTGTGCTGTCACTGCCTGTAATTCAGCATGTTTGTAAGGTTCCTTACAAACATGAGAGTTCCTCCTCTTAGACTAAAAACCTTTCCCTTCCCTTCACTGCAGGAAATGCAGATAGTTTTCATTACACGAAGCAAGGAGGCAGCCCTGTGATCGAAGGAGTGGACGACGCGAAGGAGATGGCGCACACCAGGCAGGCCTGCACTCTGCTTGGTAATGTCATTCCTTTCTTGAACTCTTTTAGTGCTGGCCAGTTTGACTCCAGTAGGCTTTGTTTGGAATATTGGTTTGTCTTTGTGTTAACTGGTGAACAGTGCTGAGAGTTTCCATATACATGGAACACATGAAGAGTCTTAGAATGGTTCTAGGAATGGATCAAGGTAATGGTTGCTCAACCTTGTAAATGCACCGAAGATTTTTGAGTTACACCTTAAAAACCTATTTTCAGCATCAGGAGAAGTAAGATTAACTTTTAACTTAAACTTTTACAAAAAATCTAGGCTTTGAAACTAAATGAAATAGATTTTTGTTTAAACTCACATTCTGTTGGTCTTTTTTCTTTGTTTCGGGGCTTGCTTGGTTTTGGGGGGTTTGGTTTTTATTTGTTGGTAATGTTTGGAGAGAGGTTTTCACTGTGTAGCCCAGCTTGGTCTTGGACTTGCAGTCCCTCCGCTTCAGCCCTCGAGCGTGGGGATGGAGGCATGTGCCCTGTGCCAGCAGGGCTCTGCCTGGGCTGTCTTCACTGCTGCCAACAGGCTCTTTTGTAGCTAAGAAGCTTAACTCAGTTGGCATGGTAACAGAACACATGTGTTCTACCGTTTGCTTTTTGTTGTTTTGGACAAAGGAGTTTTCAATTCTCTTATTGTTTGAGAATTTCATATATGCACACAGTGTTATTCCAGTGTTTTTGAAACAGATGCCACTGTTCTCTCTGTTGAGTCCCCATAAGAATCAGTTCATATTTAGAGCTGCACAACTATTAAAGATGTTCTTCTTTTATAATAAAACCTTAAAATAGGAGTAACTCAAGTATCATTTTGGTCTTTAGAGGCATACCATCAGGTAAGGGAGCTTAAGTCCTGAAGCACAGTAGGACGTGCTAAAAATGCAGACGCTCATACCGTTTCACAAAGCTGTGGACTCAGAATCTGCATTTTAGCAAGGTCTGCCAGTAAGTCCCAGAGAACACTGTTCTACCTAAGAATTTAAAAGGGCCCTCTGTATCTGTGGCCTAGTAAGTATCCAGACAGTCCTGATGAGACCTGACAGGCTAGGGTCAGATAGTAGGGGAGGAGGACCTCTCCTATCAGTAGACTGGGAGAAGGACATGGGGGGGGGGGGGGGGGGGAAGGGAAGGTAAGACTGGGAGGAGATAAGGGTGAGGGCTACAGCTGGGATACAAAGTGAATAATTGTAATAAATAATAATAATAATGAAAAAATTTAAAAAATTAATTTAAAAGGGACAGTATAGTGCTGGGTGTTGTAGCACATGTCTTTAATCCCAGCACTCAGGAGGCTGAGGCATGAGAAGCTGAATTTGAGGCCAGTCTGGTCTACAGAGTGAGTTCAGGACAGCCAGGGCTACACAGAGAAACCCTGACTCAAAAAAAAAAAAAAAAAAAAAAAGAGAGAGAGAGAAAGAACAAAAGACAGGAAAAAAGTCATTCCATAATCCAGAAAATAGTAAAACTATTCACCATAAGGTAAATTCTTAATTGTCCTCTATAAAAATGTTTTGAAATAGTTTTACCAATTTTACTTGCAGGATTGTGTTTAATAATTTCCCATTAATTTATTTATTCACTTTACATCCTGATCACAGCACCCTCTCTCCTCTCCTCCCCTCCCCACCCATTCCACCCTCCTCTTCTCCTCAGAGAATGGGAGGCTCCCTGGGTACCAGCCCACCCTGGCACATCAAGTGGCAGCAGGACTGAGCATATATCCTCTCCCACTAGAGGCCAGACAAGGCAGCCCAGCTAGGGGAAAGAGATGCAAAGGGAGGCAGCAGAGTCTGCTCCACTCCAGTTGTTAGAGGACTAGCATAATGACCAGGCTGCACGTCTGCTACATATGTGCAGGTCTAGGCCCAGTCCATAAGTGCTCTTTGGTTGGTGGTTCTGGCCCCCTCAGTCGTTCCTCCCACTCTTCCACAAGACTCCTAGAGCTCCACCTATTGTTTGGCTGCGAGTCTCTACATCTGTGTCCATCAGCTGCTGGATGAAGCCTCTCAGAAGGCAGTATGCTAGGCTCCTTTCTGCAAGCATAGCAGAAGGTCATTAATAGGCTCTCTCCCATGGGATGGGTCTCAAGTTGGGGCAGTCATTGGTTGGCCATGCTCTCAATCTGTGCTCCATCTTTATTCTTGCACATCATGTAGGCAGGACAGATTTTAGATTGGAGGTTTTATGAGTGGGTTGGTGTCCCTCTTCCTCTACTGAAAGTCCTGCCTGTCTGCAGGAGGTGGCCACTTCAGGCTCCATATCTCCCAATGCTAGAGGTCTCAGCTAGGGTCACCCCCATAGATGCCTGAGAGCCTCCCCCATTCCAGGTCTTTGGCTCGTCCCAGAGATTACCCCCCCCAGATTTCTGTTCTCTCTCCCTCCCCTGCTCTCCCCACATCTGATCCCCAACCCCATTTCTCTTCCACCCAGATCCCTCCCTCTATCCAATTCTAATGTCTAGTTTATTTTTCCTGGATACAGTGGTCTGGGCTGGCATCTGTGGTCTCTTAGAGTCTGTAAGACATTTTAGAGTCACTGTTGAGAAGTTGGCTGTAATTCTGATACCTTTACATGTTACTTGGCTTTTTTCTCTTGCAGCTTTTAATTTTTTCTTTGTTCTGTAGATTTAGTGTTTTGATTATTATGTGGCAGAAGGATTTTCTTCTCTGGTCCAATCTATTGGTGTTCTGTAATCTTCTTGTATGTTTATAGGCATTTCTTTCTTTAGATTGGGGAAGTTTTCTTCTGTGATTTTGTTGAAAATATTTTCTAGGCCCTGGAGCTGTGAGTCTTCTCCATTTTCTATTCCTATTATTCTTAAGTTTTGTCTTTTCATAGTGTCCTAGATTTTTTGATGTTTTTTGTCAGGAACTTTTTAGATTTAACTTTTTTTTTTTTTTGAATGATGTATCGATTTCTTCAATTGTGTCTTCTACACCTGAGACTGCCTCTTCCATATCTTGAATTCTGTTGATAATGCTTGCAGCTGTAGTTCCTCTTCTGTTCCCTAGGTTTTCCTTTTCCCAGAGTCTCTCAGTTTGTGTCTTCTTTGTTGCTTCTACCTTCATTTTCAGGTCTTAAATTGTTTTATTCATTTCCTTCACCTGTTTGATTGTATTTTCCTTTATTTCTTTAAGAGATTTATTCATTTCTCTTTAAAGGCCTCAGGAATTGCTGTAATAGGATAGCTGGGCTCTGGTGGTGCCATATTGTCCTGGGTCTTGTTAATTGTGTTCTTACACTGGCCTTTAGCCATATGGTTATCCCTGGTATTGGCTGGATGTTCCTGGGGCTGGCAGGCCATGGGCCAAACAGTGGAATTCAGGAAATAGCATGCTGCTTACCTCTGCTGGCTCTGCCCCAGAATGTACCTGGGTTCCTGCAAGCCTTCTTGGGAAGGGGGGCAGAGCCTTGGGCCTGATGATGGAGCTCAGGGGACAGAGTACAGCCCACCTCTGCTGGCTGTGCCCCAGGTGGACTCAGCAGGCATGGGAATGGCAGGGAGGGATCTAACTTGGATGTTCCTGAGGCCTGCCAGGCCTTAAGGGGAGGAATGCGATGGAAACTTAGAGGACAGCAAACAGCTCACCTCTGCTGGCTGTATTCCAGGTGGACTTGGCCATGTTTAATATTCTAGAACTTATTTTTGTCACCAAAGAAATGAAGCTGGATCTGGTAAAAGCCAGAAAGTATCCAACTTTCTAATCTCACCTTATCATTTAAGTCGTGTTCAAACGCTGTGTTTAGACTTCACTCAATAACTTGGGATATAAACTATCTGAATACTTCCAATCTTGGGATCTTTTTAAATTTCTAATTAATTGATACTTAAAATTAATCCAATGATTTAGGCTTATTGGGCTGCAGTATTCATTTGGAGTAGGAATAAATAGTAGCAATAATATTAATTAAATACTTATATATCTGGAATGTGACTATAATGATTATTTTTTAATACCTCTTATGTCCAGATATGCTTTGTACACTATGTCACTATGTCGTTTAATATTGTAGACACTCTTTGAAGAATTATTCCCTTATCTCAAATGAAAAACATCAAAGCTTAGATAGATGAAGAACTTCTGTGTGAAGTGGCAGGTTGGTAGCAGTGCCAGGACATGGGACCATATCATGCACTCTCCACCACCCACAATGTGAAACTGCCTATTGTGTCAAAAGATGAAAGTATTGTTATATGTGACTATGTATGTAATATGTAAATCTGCCAATATTCAAGAATTAATAGTAGACTTAAGATTTTGTTATAGCTGGGCATGGTGGCACATGCCTCTAATCCCAGCACTTGGGAGGCAGACACAGGTCGATCACTATGAATTCGAGGCCAGCTTGGTCTATAGAATGAGCTTCAGGACAATCAAGGACTGGAGTTTGGGTCCTAGTACCCAAGCAATAATCCAGTGCCTATAACTCTAGCTCTGAGAGGAATTCCGTCTCAAAAAATAAAAGCAACAAATTTTTTTTTCTTGTAATTACTTTGTTGCTATTCTGACATCGGTTTCTTGTTTATCTACTCTATTTCAGGAATTAGTGAATCTTACCAAATGGGAATTTTTCGAATACTCGCTGGCATCCTTCATTTAGGCAATGTCGGATTTGCATCTCGAGATTCAGACAGCTGCACAATACCTGTAAGTTCACAGCAAGCTGAATGTGATGGCGACTGTCTGTTAATTTTGTTTGTTTGTTTAGGATAGCCTCTAGGGCTTGCACATGCTAGGCAAGCACTGTGTTTGAAACATTGGCACTGTGTGGGGTTTTTTGAACATAGTTCTGGGGGGCAAATTCAGTCTTTGCGCTTGCAGAGCAGGAACTTTGCCTGCTGAGCATTTACCTAGACCTACAGTATTTTCATTCATTTATTCTGTGTTTTTGTACGCATGTATAAGCACACAGGTACACAATACTGTATGTGTACAGAGGCCGGAAGAGGGCATTGGATCTCTCAGAGCTAGAGTTATAAGCACTGGGTTGTTACTTGGGTACTAGGACCCAAACTCCAGTCCTGATCATTGTGTAGCAGGCACTTTTAACTACTGTCCTATCTTTTCAGCCTCATTATTTGTTTGCTTGTTTGTTTGTTCATCCACTTATATGTTATGAGTGCTGGCATGTATGTGCCACCACATGTGGAATCCATAGTACATCTTTTGGGAGTTGGTTCTCACCTTCCACCCCATTGAGGTAGGTCTCTTGTTTCTACCTGTTCTTGGTGTTCTAGAGTAGGAGCCTTTAGCCAGTTCTCCTGTCTTTGCTTTCTATATCATCATGGAGTACTGGGATTCCAGATGATACAAACTGCACCCAGCTTTTTACCTGGATCCCATAGATGGAAGTTAGGTCATCATATGTGGCAAGTTCTTTTTCCCACTCAATCATCTCTCTGTCCCTAGTTTTTTTTTTTTTTTTAAAGGAGAAAATGATGGGTCTGATTTAAACTCCTAAATTCTTTTAAGAAAATACTACTTAAAAAAAAAAAAAAAAAGTCTTGTCTTGTGGCCTAAGTTGGCCTCAACTTGTAACAATCCTCCTGCCTCAGCCTGCTGAATGCTGGTGTTACAAGTGTGCATAATCATATCTAGCACGAGTTTTTTTCAAAAGCTGCTTTATTGAGATATAATTTATTTACCAACACCAATACATAGTTTTGAGTATGGTCATAGATATTTAGATATGTACAACCATCACCACAAATACTTAAAATACTTTCAGAAGGAAGCCTAGTTCCCTTACCTATTGCCAACTTGTACCCCTCATCTCCTCAACTCAAACACTCCTGGGTCTACTTCTTTTCTCTGTAGAGTTGCCTATTCTGGACACTAATATAAACTGAATCATGTAAGTATGTGGTCTTTCAAAGTTTATCCATGCTGTAGCACATATCACTTCTTCAAGATCAGTAGTTGCATCCATTCACATAAGGTCTACAGAAGACATGTAAGGGATGCAGGGATATGTCAGTTATTAAAGAATTACAACCTAAAAAACCCCTTAAGTAACACCAGACTGTCATCTTCAAACCTTCAGTGGCCCGCGAATAAAGGTCAACCATGGTCTTTATGGCTTTATTTTACACATTTTCTGCTTTACTTTAGTAATTTTAGCCCCTCCTCTTGCTGGTTTCCCTTCTACTACAGAAGTTATTTTTTCCTCCTGCTGTTACCCTCAACTTAGACAGCTTTCCTCTTCTTGACCAACAAGTACCTGCTATTCTTTCACATCCTAATCTATGATATAAGTTCATTGTCTTCTGCCTTGCTGGCTAGAGTGAACTTCTCTCCTGTGGATTCTCAGTACTGTGTTTGCCTCTTTACAGTGTTTTACACTTCAATATCTTTTACACTTCAATATCTATGTCCCTTAGAACTGCAAGCACTGGTTATTATGAGATACCATGAACAAGACAACTTATAGAAGAAAGAGTTTATTAGGGGCTTAAAGTTTCAAAGAGTGAGTCCATGACCATCACAGCAAGGAACATGGTATCAGGCAGACAGGTGTAGCTGAGAGCTTATGTCTTGATCTACAAGCATAAGGTAGATATAAAGAGACACTGGGAGTGGTATAGACTTTTGAAACCTCCAAATCTGCTCCCATTGACACACCTTCAAGAAAGACAAATCTCCCAATCCTTCCCAAACAGTTCCATCAACTGGGGACCAAGTATTAAAATATATGAGCTGCTGGGGTCCATTTTTATTCAACCACACAGGAGCCATATTTGTTTTTGTTTATTGGTACCGATTTGTTGACTAGCTGACAAATTTCTGACTGAGTGATTGAATATGTCCTAAGAGAGATACAGGCAAATCTATGAAGAACCAAGAAAGTTTTTGTTGTTGTTTAAAATGAACCCTACAAGAGATTGCGAAGTGACATCCAGATGCTGAGTTATGGATGCTTTTGATTATGCTCAATGATGAGGTGGAAGTGATGTTGATATCCCTGTGACAGAGATAGTGCTGAATTGTGTTACTTCCCTTTTCAGGAATTATTCTTTGATTGATCTGGCCATGAGCAATAACACATTCTCTTTTGATAGCCCAAGCACGAGCCTCTTATCATCTTCTGTGACCTCATGGGAGTGGCTTATGAAGAGATGTCTCACTGGCTCTGCCACCGAAAGCTGGCTACTGCCACAGAGACATACATCAAGCCCGTCTCCAAGCTGCAGGCTACAAATGCCCGAGATGCTTTAGCAAAGCACATCTATGCAAAGCTCTTTAATTGGATTGTGGATCACGTCAATCAGGCTCTCCACTCTGCTGTCAAGCAGCACTCTTTCATTGGCGTCCTAGACATTTATGGGTAAGTGCGTTTGGCTTTCTGCCCTACTCTGCTGGAAACCTGTTGTTTGTCGGGAGTGTTTTGAAACTGAGCACTATTTAATTTTGTTTTCTACTGGAGAAGAGAAGGAATTCTACTTATAACCATTCAGAAGTGCCTTTGATGATGGAGATGAAATAATGCCAAAAAGAAAAATAATTACGCATTGCTTAAACAAAAATTAGCTCAACTCCAAAGCCTATTTACTAAGTTGGTAGTTCCAATTAATTATTTTTCAGATTCTCGAATGATAAGTTATTGGATTTCTAAAAATATTTTCATTTCTAGTTGCTTTCTCTGGATACTGGATACTGTAGGTGAACCCTTTCTGTGCATGGACTTGCTTGGCAGCTAATTTTTCACTCTGGTTCAGTTTTTCAGAAGAACCTCTGATTACTATTTCTGTCTCCCTTCTCTGTGTGAAATGTTGAAAGTATACATTGACAGAAACTGTGGCTTTAGCATAGTCCTATTGTTTCCTCCTGGAGAATGAATGAGCCTCACAAACCACCCAAGGGAGGACCACACAATGGGAAGCTTTGTTTCAGCTGATGCTCATCATAGTCTGTTTTTCCACCTTTCAAAACTTTATCTGAGATATAAAGAAAATGTGATCATGTTAAGGAACTTAATTTTTCTCTTCCGTGGGTGCATATTTTAAGTATTTTTAAAAGCTATTTATTCTTTTTTTTCTTCCTACCTGACTTTTTGGTATTACAGATTTGAAACATTTGAGATAAATAGTTTTGAACAGTTCTGCATAAATTATGCAAATGAAAAACTACAGCAACAATTCAACATGGTAAGAATTTCCTTTATTGAATACAATTCTGCTATAATTTTTTCTTTTGAGTTCCTAGGCATTTGTTTGTTTTTAAGAAGCTGGGTCTCTGAAATAAACTCCTGAACTGTAATTATTGGGTTTAAAATAATGAAACTGCCAGGGAACAGAGCATTACAAATTGATGTAACATTAGAAAAAATGTTTTGGCAGTTATTCCTTATCTGGAATAATGAACATTTGGGACAAATAATTTAACTGAGAGATGCAGGAAGTGGGCAGGCACTAACATTGAGTCCTTCTGCTTGCTGTTTGGAAGCCAACTATATGTAGAGTTATAACTAACACCATCTATTGTGTTAGCAAGATGTCAGCATTTCATAATTCTCTACTCAGTGGTCTAAGTTCTTCACTGAGGCAATGGCAGTGGGTGCATTTTGGGAGTGGTCCATATTAGCTTTGAGCTAACTTTGCATTCCAAGTATTGGATTACAGACTTGCCACCACACACCACCCAGTTCAAACAATTCTTTGCCTGAAATAAATGATAAATTTTCCTCAAAATAATCCATACTTTAATCTATAAACTGTTTAGTAGTGTAAAACAATGAAATGTGCTTCAGAAGCACCCTTAATTTTCAGAAAGAACAAAGTTTACCGCAGTAGGTAAAGCTAGAGATAGCATAGTTCATTTTTAGGTTTTGGTGCATCCTTTAAAAGAAGAAAAAAAGGTTTCAACTGTGGTAGAATAGTGTGCTGTGATTAGATGCTGTTTGTTTTCAAACTTTATTTTCTATGATTTGGAAACCTTTTGCATATATACATATGTCTATATATACATATTGCTGAATATAGACCAGTAACTCAAAAAACAAAGACAAAATAAAGTTTAAAATTGAGAAGTCAAAAAAGCTGATAAGCATATTTTTTTTTACAAAAATGATTTATTTTATGTGCATTTGTGTTTTCCCTGCATATAAGTCTTTGTAAGGATGTTGGATCCCTTGGAACTGGAGTTATAGACAGTTGTGAGCCACCATGTGGGTGCAGGGAATTGAACCTGGCTCCTCTGGAAGAGTAGCCAGTGCTCTTAACTGCTGAGCCATCTCTCCAGCTCCCTGATCAGCATATTCCTTTAAAATGTGAAAAAAATACTAAAAAAAAAAAATAGCAAAGAAAATTTAAATTTTCTGCATATAGGCATTCAGATTGGGGTTGTGTACATTTGGGACTAAAATTTTAAACTTTTAGGGTGTTTGACATTATCAAATATAAGTACTTTGATAGACATTTGAACCATCTTTGTTTAGCAAGTGCAGCTGTTTGATACAATGAAATAATGTAGGAGTGATCTTTCAAACCTTATGGTTTTTTCATGATAACAGGGCTCATTCTCATCCAGTTAAGGATGGTTGTGAGCCAACTGTGGGTACTAGGAACTGAATTCAGGTCCTCTGCAAGAACAAGTTCTCTTAAAAACTGAGCAGTCTCTCTAGCCCCCAAATCCTTGGTTCTTGATGGTACCTTGCTTACTCCTTTATCAATAAAAAGAACAGAAGACATTTGTTAGTTAGAATCATATGGATTACATGATGGGTTTTGTTTGGGGGGGGGTTTGTTTGTTTGTTTGTTTGGGTTTTTTGTTTTTTGTTTTTTTTTTTTTTCTGAGACAAGGCTTCTCTGTGTATCCCTCACTGTCCTGGAACTCACTCTGTAGACCAGGCTGGCCTCAAACTCAGAGATCCACTTGCCTCTGCCTCCCAAGTGCTGGGATTAAAGGTGTGCGCCACCAGTTCCTGGCTTGGATGGTCTTTTTGATAAAGGATTATTACTACAAATGAGACACGATGATATTGCCCTAAGTGTAGTATATCATGTCAAAGTTGTAAGTACACAAAAAGGGAGAGAGAGAAGAGTGTATGTATGTGTGTGTGTATGTGTGTGTGTATGTGTGTGTATGTGTATCAAAAATATTTTGTCACTTTTGAGTTCTAAAGCTTGGGGTCCTAGAAAATAGGTATGTTAAGTCACAGCCACAAAAACCTAGTTTATTTAGAAAAAAAAAATGGCAAGAAAGAGTGAGCCAAAGAATCCAGAAGAAATAAGTAAAGAGAAACTTAAGAGCCAGTAGCGGTCATTAGCATCTGTAGTGAGATTAGAAGCTGTGTTGTCAGCCAACTTGGTTGGAGCAGAGGCAGTGGTTGGATTGGCTTTCCCATCTGGACCAGTTTAAGCTTCTGTTCAGCTCAGAATGTGATCACAAGCTCTTTCCCTATCTGGATGAGGATTTTTGTTATTCTCCTTTGTAATGCCATTAACATTTGTACTTTTATGTTTTTGTGGCTACCTGACTTCTCCCAGTTCTCTCCCAGCATCCATGTCTGTGCTGTTGACCACATGCAGTGACCGACACATAGTATAGACTCAATACATGATCCGATTAAAGAGTGAGCACAGTGGTGTGGATGGTGCCTGAAGCCGTAGCAGGGTATCCGTGGATTGGTAGTGTGCGTGCCTGCTTCCAGTATTCAGTGTACACTCCAGAAAAGTGAGCCCTAGATTCCCTGTCTGAGGAGAACAATCAAGGCTGACATACAAGGACAGCTGTTATTTAATTCTGAGGCACCCGTCCTTCCGCACACAGCAGCTTAGAAGAACCACTGCCTGGTATGTTCAGTAATCTGGAAAGCGTTCTTTCTGCATTACTGGTCAATGCCAGCTAAGGCATTCCTGTGCCTCATGTTAATAGCCCTGTACAGAAGTTTAGGCAAAAATATATGATGCAGTTTGGAGATGTGTATTTTAAAAAAATCACAAGGACTATGTATTTTTCTGCTATTTGAAACATTTATAGGCCTGGTGTGGTGATGCATGCCTGTAATCCCAGCACTTGGGAGGCTGAGGCAGAGTGCAAATTCAAAGCTGGCCTGGGCTACCTAGAGAATCTTAGGCTAACCCTGGTCTGCATCTTTAGGCCCTGTCTCAAATATAGCAAACAAATTAAAAAAAAAAACATTTTACATGCTTAGATTTATTTGTTCTTGGTGAATGCTTGTAGCTGAGGTCTTCTGTGTATGATTTTAGTCACGCTTCTTCATGAGGTGGGAAGCCATGAGCTATATCCTGTTGTTGACATCCCTGTTAGAGTCTACAGAAATGTTCTTCTTGATTACATTCTTTATGGTAATGATCTAAGAATGCTATTTTCTCTTTATTTCAGCATGTCTTCAAATTGGAACAGGAGGAATATATGAAGGAACAAATTCCATGGACACTGATAGACTTTTATGATAATCAGCCTTGCATCAATCTTATAGAATCTAAACTGGGCATTCTAGATTTGCTGGATGAGGAGTGTAAGGTGATTATGATTTCCTGGAGTACGTAGCCTGCCAAGATAGATGCATCAAGGGGACAAGACAAGTGGGGGCAAGCAGAGACTCTTCAGTCTATCACCGTAACAAGTCAGGGGTCACTCTTTCATTCTGAAGGGACACTAGACCCCCAAGCTTCCCCTTAAATCTTTTGTTGTTGTTATTTAAGTGTGTGTGCGTGCGTGTGTGATGCACACATGCCATGGCATATTGTAAATCAGAACAATTTTCATGAGCCAGTTCTTTCCTTGAGCTGTGAGATCTGGGAGTTGTACTTAGCTCCTCAGGCTTACAAAGCACATGCTTTTGCATGCCGAGCCATCTCACTGGCCCCAACTCCAGGGAGTCTAATTAAAACTGAAACGAGGAAAATTTTCCTTCTGTTTTTAGGTGACTACAAATTGACATTAGGTGCAGTTGCTACCACTTTTTATCGTTTTAGTTTTAATTTATATTTAATGTTTTTGTTCAGCAATATGACATATTGAAAGAAATACAAGAAACTACAAAAAATTATTTTGAATAATAGTTCTAAATAGCTAAGTTTTGAATAGTGTCTAGTTCTTTGTTATTGACATAAGTAATAGTGTTTAGCTTTAACATTTAAAGATGTAGCATGTTAGAAAATCAGTGGATCTGCCAATTTATTACTGAATGACCTTAGGCAAATCTATTTTTTTCTTAATCTTTCTTTAGTTTATACAATTTATTTATACAATAAATCAGAGCTTATCATATATTAGCCCTCATAAGAATCTAAACTTATTATGTTATTACCTTACCAGGCCACAGAGGAAGACAAAGAAGCCAGTCCTGATGAGACCTGATAGACTAGGGTCAGATGGAAGGGGAGGAAGACCTCCCCTATCATTGGACTGAGGGAGGGGCATAGGAGGAGAAGAGGGAGGGTAGGATTGGGAGGAGAGGACTATGACAGTTGTCATAACAAAAAATAACAACCTAGTGATGATAAGAGGGAAAAAATGTAAGGAGTGTACAGAATGAGGCTACTCAAGTACTTGTCTTAAAAACAGGGACATATACTAAAGTTTTTAGAAATGGCAAGAGTCGATGACCAGTTCAAATCTTACTGGGTTAAATTAGTATTTCACTGCGTGTAAATGTTTTCTCCATTTAACAAATTTTATAAAAAGGTATGCCTAATAGTTTTATTTCGTCTTTAACTTGTAAAACCTTTATTGTGTTAAAAATAATTAAGTATTGATTTGATGATTCCTGGTATAGGTAGATTGCTGGGCCACCCCATGGTCTCAGCCATGCTGTTCATCAGTGGCTAGCTTGTGCTGCTGAAAGGAAGAACGAATTCCTACCTTGGACATAGGAACTGGTGTCTATTCCTGATGTACCGGAAGACCATTGGTACTCATTTCTCTTTCTTTTTTCTCCCAAGATGCCTAAAGGCACAGATGACACATGGGCCCAAAAACTATACAACACACATTTGAACAAATGTGCCCTCTTTGAGAAGCCCCGCATGTCAAACAAAGCTTTCATCATCAAACATTTTGCTGACAAAGTAAGAACACTTTTTGTCTTTTTTCTCTTTAATACTTTTTAATACTTTATAATAAAAATCAGTAGTCAAGTCTTATTTTTTCTTTGCAGTGCTTGCTTTCTTTAAGGTCCTTTAAGCAAATGAGTCTTCAGTACTGGCATCTTGCTTTTCTCCTACTTTAACGTCAGTCGATTACATACTAAATAAATATGGGTATTTTGTCTGAAATTTTTTAATCAAGAAACTGAAAACCAAAAAATGTTTTCATAACTCATTTTACAACCAAACCTTATCTCTGACTTAAATTCACATGATATTTGTTTATAATTTTAGCCTAATTAAAGTGGGTATTTACATGTTTAAGTGTAGAAATATTAATGTTTATGTAATATATGGTATAGATGACTTTATTAAACTTTTCTGGTAGTGTTAAAAATGGTGTATAAACATACTAAGTGCAGGCAAAATTCTAAAGGTCTTACAGGTTTCATAACAGAAACTGTATTTTTGTCACTCTTTGTGAAAGCATAGTTTACTTAGCAAGTCAGGAACTGTGTGACCAGTTTACACTCAAGGAAGCTGTGGGATAGGCTGTGTTGTGAGCTTTCTGGAAGCCACTTTATAAACAGAGTTTTCTGATTATTTAGTCCTGGCATGAAACCTTTTGACAACTAAGGTGATCTAAAGAGTATGAGATGTAGAACCCCTTGAGTGGCAAATGGCTGAAGTTGTAGGGTTTCAGACAAGAAGGAATTAATTCTCAAGTAAGCTCACTTTACTAAATTATATAATATTTGCCCTTCTTCTCTATCCATCATCAGTTCCTCACTTCTTCCCATACTCTCTCCACTTGATCTTTTCTCTCCTCAGAGAAGTGGTTCTCAACCTTCCTAATGCTACAACCCTTTAATATTGTGGTGATCTCCAACCATAAAATTATTTCATTGCTACTTCATAACAGTCATTTTACTACGGTTATGAATCCTAATGTAAATATCTGTGTTTTCTGATGGTCTTAGGCGACCCCTTGTAAAAGGGTCATTCCACCACCAAAGGGATCTTGACCCACAGGTGAGAACCAGTACCTCAGGGGGACCCTTATGCTTATATGATGGTGAGCTAGCTTAGGCTATACACTGGGTCAGCCTATGAGGCACTCTCTTTGGCCTTGGGGGAGGAGATCAGCTTACAAGTCTGCTTACCCATGAAGCGATAGATTGTTCTGACCTCAGCTTATCAGCAATCACTGTTACTTAGGAAAGTGGTGTTTGTAAACTTGCTAGAGTTTACATATTTTTATTTTATTCCACTGCTTTTTATTAGGGTTTTTTGTTTGTTTGTTTTTAAGTTAAAATATAATAGATTTTTGTTTTAGGGACAAGGTCTATATACCTAAAGGCTGGCCTTAAATTTACTGAGGCCAACTTTGGACTCCTAATCCTCCTGCCTCTACCGCATAGGTACTGGGATTACTGATATGTGCTGTGGATTTTATTTCATCCTTTTTCTTATTTGTCCCCCTCCTCCAGTTCTTTCCACTGTTTCCTGCCCTCCTCTGTTGTGCCAAAGCATACCCCATAGTCCCACTTCTGCCTTAATGTCACATGTTTTCCATTACCTTTTTGTCCCCATTGAGAATGTTTCTTTTCTGTTATGCTCTCTTTTCTAGTTTCATGACCTACATTAATACACGTGCACATACACAAATTAAAATGTAGGATCCATGTATGAGGGAAGATATGAAGTATTTGTCTTTCTGGTTTGGCTTATTTCACTCAACATAATGATTTCCCCTTGCATCAGTTTTCCTGCAAATGTCGTGATTTCATTTTTTATTGTGTCTGGACAAAACTCTGTTGTATATATGCACCACATTTTCTTTACTCATTCATCTATTGATGGACATAGAGACTGGTTCCCCTTCTTCCCTGTTATGATTAGTGCAGCAGCAAGCATGGGTGTGCAGATAGCTCTGTGGCAGGACGGAGGAGTCCTTTGCTTACGTCTCCCCAGGCCTACTTTAGTGAGGTGCCACACTTCACCCTGGGAACGGTACACATCTCTCAGGAAAGACTGATAATACCACTTGCTGAGAGCTAGTTACAGAGCCTGGGCTTTTGCTGATGGCGACAATATCTTTTCAAAAGTGTTGTCAGTTAAGGAGATATTTTTCATGTGATTTCAGGTGGAGTACCAGTGTGAAGGCTTTCTTGAAAAGAATAAAGACACCGTTTTTGAAGAACAAATTAAAGTCCTTAAATCAAGCAAGGTAACCACGGATAGACTTACTCTCATCAAGATATGTTCCATAAAATGTTAATTGCTTCAGCGCAAGTCTTTAACACTAATAATGATTTTTTTTTTAAACAAAAATCAGTTTTATTTACAGCTTTTAATTTGTCAAATGTATGACACTTACTTAATACTTGTCAGGCACAAATATTGACAAATCAGGGAAAGATCTGACAGAATAGGATACAGCCAACTCTCAGGAGAACAGAGAGGAAAGGGAAGCTGCTTAAGGGGCAATGCAGAGAGGAGGCGGTTATACCAGGAGTTTTTAACAGGACAGTATTAGAAAAACATGTTGTAGAGAAAGAACACAGGTGAAGATGGAGACAGCCAGAGAAAGAGGAGTCAGAAGATTAGAAAAGATTGCTGGAGTTAGTTTGAGGACAAGCAGAGCAATTCAGAGGCTGAGAAAAAGGCCAGATTGAATAAGTCAGCTGGGAGAGGAGTTTGAGCTAAAATAGCTGAATGGAGCCAGCCAGCTGAGAGCTCAGAAGACCAAGAAAGGGTGAGTTTATTCAGCAGTAAGTCTTAGGGGCAGAAAACATTCTAGGCCTAGGTGAGACTGTACAAAGACTAGAAGCTTCCAGGACTAGGCCTAGGTTAGCAGACAGAGGCAATAATTCTCTGAGACAGTAACTGAAACAGGTGAATAAAAGTTTCTTTTACAATGATATCATAAGCTAAGATTTTGGTGTACATGACCTCTCACAGAATTGTCTGGATTCTTGTTTCCATACTGTTTTCATATATAGCTAATAGGAACTAATTGTTCCTCTTTGGAATGTGGCCGTACAAGACCATGTTAAAATAGTTCTTTTGTGTAGCCAACCTTACTAGACTGCAAAACAGGGAATATATTTGTTTGTTTAACAGGCAGCCATTATTATGTTATACTCATCATTAATAACTTCCTTAACTACCCTGATGGGGTTTTTTTTTTATTGTTTTTGTTGCTGTTGTTTGTTTGATTGTTTGGGTGTTTTTGTTTTTGTTTGTTTGTTTTTTGTGATACTGAGGGTTTTGTCTATGGCCTTATGCTTGCCAAAGGAGCACTCTACTGCTAAACTGTATCCCAGCCCACACATTTATGGGATATGAAATCACATGACTTTGTTTTTCAGTGTAAGTGGTCTCATAGGAAATCTTTTTTTTTCTAAATAATCTGAGATCAGTAAATAGTTGGTGCTTACAAGTGTGACTTGAGTTGCACAAACGATTAATTACTAGTTTCAGGTCCCTCCTGCTTCAGGAATTTTCACTCAACTGTATTGCCTAGTATCCACTCACTTATTTACGATAATCACCTTTAATCACAGCACTTGTGTGATATGCAGAGACAGTGATATCTGTTTCAGATCAGCCTGCTCTGATCTACAGAACTAGTTCCTACGGTGACATAGTGAGACCCCATAAAAAAAATATGATTATGGTAATTGCACTAAAGTTCCAAATTTCTTGAAATCAAATATAAATACACGTAAGATAACAGGGTTTTCTCCTTTTCTATACAATCCAAATTATTTTCTTAAACCATTAATACATCACTAACATTTACCTCCTGATATTGAAAGCTTGTTCATAACGCCTTTCTGCTGAGACTATTGGGTCTTTCTGAGTTAGCACTTTCTACTTCAGATACCCCAGACCTGGACTAGCCCTTTTCCTCTGCTGCATAAAACCCCTTACAGGACTGAGATAATAAACTCAGTCTTTCAATTAATATTTTTCTTATAAAATAATTTTAGTTCAAAGCCAGTTATATGTTTAATTGAAATTTCCTTTGTATTAGTTAGATTTTCAACTTTGCATATAGTAGTTTTGAGTTTGTTCCACCCCAAATATTATTGTAGAATTATTTTGTTCTTTTAACCATATAGGAACAATTGCTTATTAGAAGCATCTGTAATACGTCTTCTGCAAAGGCTTACATTCTACTTGGGGTTTAGGGTATGAGTTTCTTGTTGTTCTGGTCTGTCTTTTGGGGGAGTATCTCATTTGGTGCAGTTTTGCAGTCACTCTATTGCTAAATCTGGTCTGGAACTCATGATCCTCCTATCTCTATCTCCCAAGTGCTGGGATTATAGCTGTATTGCCTCCAATACAGTCCTAGAGTATAATTTTCTTTTGCTATTCCTGACTCAGTTCAAGATGCTACCAGAACTATTTCAAGATGATGAGAAGGCCATCAGTCCCACCTCTGCCACCTCCTCAGGGCGTACACCTCTCACCCGAGTTCCGGTGAAGCCCGCCAAAGGCCAACCTGGCCAGACGGCCAAAGAGCACAAGAAAACTGTGGGACATCAGGTGAGTTCAGGTGCTGCCACTGTCAGACTCCTTCCCCTCAGCTTCCGCAGAGCCTCAGGCCTTCCTTCTTCAGCCTTGCAGACAGGTTCTTCAGGTGAGGAAAGATCAGTGTTTCTGCTGCACAAACAGCAGTGTCCACTTAGACTTTCCCTCACCCCAAACTGATAACTTTCCATCAGCCTTTCCCAAAATAATTTTCTCTGAGTCTCAGTTCCTCTAGTGCATATCAAGTCTCAGACCACTCCTGTCTTTGTTGTGTTATTGGTTGTCTCATCTTTGTATTTATATAGAGCATTTGTCAGCTTCCTCAGTGCAGGAAAGCACCCTGTCCTTCCTCAGATGTGCTGTGCCCTGTGGGCAATGGGAAACAGTGCACACATCCTTAGTGCCTGAACATGGGCAGGGCTTTGAAAGGAACGCCGGACACTAGTCAGCAGCGTGCATTGCTCCTTGAGACCTTGTGCCAGTGCAGATAGGAACAGGCCCTGATGTGGGTCCACAGCCTCCAGTCTTGGCCCATGACCTTAATGATGTTCCCTTTCTGTTTGTCCTTCAGCCTGATCTCTGCTCGCTGTTTATACAATATTAAGGAATGTGCAGCTTTTTAGTATTATATAGCAGAGTTCATGCCTTATGTGATTAAATGGCCCTAGTAGCAAAATTATAAGTCACGTGTAAAGGAGTTCATAACAGGAAGCTACAGAAAAAGGACCAGAAGGAAGGTACATGCATATTTAGCAAAATGAACATGTGGAATTTAGGCAAATAAAAATAAAAGATCTAGGTGGCTGGAGAGATGGCTCAGAGGTTTAAGAGCATTGTCTGCTCTTCCAGAGGTCCTGAGTTCAACTCCCAGCAACCACATGGTGGCTCACAACCATTTATAATGAGATCTGGTGCCCTCTTCTGGCATGCAGGCAGAAAATTGTATAAATATAAAAAAATTAAAAAAAAAAGAACTTCCACAAAAAAAAAAGAAAGAAAGAAACAGAAAAGCCCTAGAATTCTTGTTTAGCAACCGTCCCCTGTGAAGATGGCTTCAAATTCATAGTTTACAAAGTCAACTCCATTTATGTCAAAGGAAGAGAATTTTTAACAAAAAATTCTAACAAAAGTTTAATTTTTATTTAAACCTTTTTCATGCAGTTTCGAAACTCCCTCCACCTGCTTATGGAAACCCTTAACGCTACTACTCCTCACTATGTACGCTGTATTAAGCCTAATGATTTCAAGTTTCCATTCACGTAAGTCAAACTGAAATAAGGAGAGAGACTTCTGGGGAAAACCTTTGTTTGTTTGTTTGTTTGTTTTATTTTTGTTTTTTGAGGCAGGGTTTCTCTGTGTAGTTTTGGCTGTCCTGGACTTGCTTTGTAGACCAGGCTGGCCTCGAACTCAGAGCAGTCTGCCTGCCTCTGCCTCCCTGAGTGCTGGGATTAAAGGCACGCTCCTCCACACCTGACACTAGGGATAATCTTTATGTCTTGTAGAGGGAATCTATTCCTTGAGTAAATTTTTACTTTTCGTTTCCTTTTGACAACATGAAAACAAATTAGCAGTTAGCTTTCTAAGGATTTGAAATTTTGAGATCAACCATGTATTTTTGGTTCTGTTTTTCTGTTTTTGGCTCTGTCTCTGTTGTAGATCTCTCTGGCTCTTTATTAATTTGGACATTAGTTAAAAGCATAGCTGGATGGGCTAAAGGCCTACCTGCTACTTTTTTATCTGTTGAAGCCAGAGAATGTTTATCAAAGTCTCATCCTACTTCAGATAATAAGTCAAAGGTGAAACCGACTTTCAAGAGAATTTCCAAAATGTAAATATTTCTAACTTTAAAAGTAATATATGTATGTTCTTGGAATGGTTTTTAGGAGCTAACACCCAGAAAGTTAAGTAATGTGAATTGGCATATGTGCTGGACTAGTTAGCATTTCTTCTTTGTGTGAGTGTGTGTGTGTGTGTGTGTGTGTGTGTGTGTGTGTGTGTGTGTATGTGTGTGTGACAGACAGACAAACTAGCAAGGAAGGGTCTCATGCTATAATTGTGGTTTCATCTCTGCTTTTAACATCACTGATTGTATTAATCTCAATTAGTATTTAATTTTAAATATCGATTAGTATTTAAAAACCTACACTTATTGACTGAATGGATGTAGAATATCTGATGGTGTAGATGGTTCGTACACTATTAAATCAGCCACTGTGCATAAGTCATTTAGGTTGTTACAACAATCTTTTTAAAAATGTTTTAATTAAAATATAGTTGCATCCCTTTCCTCCCTTCAGTCCCCACCAGCTACCCTTCTGCAAATCCATCCTCTGTCTCGTAACAAGTTTCTAACAAATATGTTTTGCCAAACATTTCTGTACCTCCTTAGGATAACATGATTCTAGAGGAATTTTGTGGCTCCAAGGATCAAGTATATGATTTGATCATTGTGCATATGTATTAAAATATCACATTTTACCCCAATAGTAATCACACATACCATGTATGAAATGCGCTCATATTATCAAGCTCATCTCTTACCAACAACCCAAGACGTGAGAAGACTGTATAGGAATGGGCTTGGATCGATACTTAGAGCTCAGTTACCAGATCAACAGGAGCAGTCATCTGACTAGAAGAAGGACTTTCTATTGCTTCTTTTGGTGTCATTTTATTAATATGTCATTTTTAGAGTCTTAGTTCATTTTCTTTTTGACATAACAAAAATGCCATGACCAAGGCAGCTTATAAAAAAAAAAACTACTTTGGGCTCATGGTTAAAGAGGGTTAGAGTCTATGACCATCATTGCGGGGATGGCAGCAGACAGGCAGGTAAGGTGCTCAACCAGCACTGAGAGCTTACATTTTGATTAACAAGTAGGAGGCAGAAAAAGACAGGGAGAGCTTTGAAACCCTAGTGACCAGGGTCAGATGAAAGGGGAGGAGGTCCTCCCCAATCAGTGGACTTGGAAAGGAGCAGGGAGGAGATAAGGGAGGGAGGGTGGGAATGGGAGGGAATGAGGGAGCGGGATACAACTAGGATACAGAGTTAATAAAATGTAACTAATAATAAAAAGAAAAAAAATTTTGGGTGAATCAATGTTCAAACATTAACCCTAATTTTTAAAATGTAAATAGGCAAAATATAAAGAAAGAAAAAATAAATCCATATTCCAACTGTCAAAAAAAAAAAAAAAAAAAAAGAAAGAAACCCTAGTGACATACCTTCTCCAACAAGGCCACGCCTCCTAATTGTTCCTAAGCATTTCCACCAAATGGGGACCAAGCATTCAAATATATGAGCCTATGGGGGCTATTCTCATTCAAACTACCATATTTAGGATTAAATAAATGTGAAAAGTAATACAAAATAAATATTTTTTCATTGCTTTGGCTACTACAAATGCTTCATATGTGTACAGTAAGTAGCTAGTAGAACAACAAAGTTGGTTTTTTAAATAACTGAATGGGACATGTTTAATGTATCCTCTCAGGTTCAGTCTTTATCTTAGGGGAGGTCCATGTACTGAGCTGATGAAATCTGAGCATTTTCAGTCAGGCCATGATTATGCACTCATTACAGGATGGGCAAAGTTAGGGAGAATCTGTCTTCTTTCTTTTTAGTATACTCAGTGGACTTTCTTATGAGACTGTCGTATGTGAACTGGAGGAAATATCTACAGCTCTTTTATTTCTATGCTAACTGTCTCTTCTCTATTATTTTATGGTTTTTCCATTTGATCACTGTTCCAGCTTTTAAATGAATTCTTTTATAGTTTATCTACTTGACTCTTGACAAAAGAATTTAACCCTTGGCAGTCTGAGTCTTTTGTGGGCTAACAGCCTGTGCTGCTCCCTGCAGATTTGATGAGAAGAGGGCAGTGCAGCAGCTGAGAGCATGTGGTGTCCTGGAGACCATCCGAATCAGCGCAGCAGGCTTTCCCTCACGGTGAGCACAGTCTTCAAATGTTGGGAAGCCTTCTGGGAACAGTTCTTCAACCTGTAAGCTGATATGGGCTTCTTTTCTAGGTGGACTTACCAAGAGTTTTTCAGCCGGTACCGGGTCCTAATGAAGCAAAAAGATGTGCTGGGAGATAGGAAGCAAACATGCAAGAATGTATTAGAGAAGCTGATATTGGTGAGAATAGTTTTCACTTAACTGTTTCTGAAAAGGTCTTGTCATTCTGAGCAGCAAAAGCCCTGCAAACGTCTTTGTTAAACATCACAACCCAGATTATTTGGTGATGGATAAGTTGGGAAATGCCAGGCATAGAGGTCAGGTGAAACTCACTGTGTTTAGTGTGCTAGAAGCAATACGGATGCTGTTAGCCACCATCAGAAAACTGTTGTAAAGGCTGGACTCAGGTCTGAGATGTAGCCCTTTTAGACAGTTTAATCACTGTCAACAAAAATCTTCTTAGTACTTAGTGATAGAAAACAGCAGATATAATTGAGGAAAAGTCCATTTTTATTTTAAAGAGAAGTGATGTGTTTTAAAGATGAGCATGCAGATTATATCTACATCAAATACTGAGTGAGGACTCGAGAAATGGTACAATACAAGAGTCAGGCTTGAACTCAGAGTTCAATTCCCAGGACCCATGTAGGCCAACACCTCTGGCCTTTTCAGTCCCTCATGCTTCCACACAGATATCCACTCAAAGACATACATGCATGCATATGACTGAAAATCTTAAAATAAGAAACATGACAAAAATGCAGAGGAAGCAGGGGAGAAACCAAAGGAAGGGAAAACCATAACCAATTATGAGAAGGAAGAATAATTTCATGAGGTGTGGGATGTAAATCAGGTCCTGAAGAATGGGTAAGTTTGGATAAACATGGAAAGAAGGTATAAAGAAGAAGAAAAATACAGGATTTGATAAGGTGGCTGGAGAAATGCTCAAGAGCTCCTGCTGCTTTTGCAGAGGACTTCTTGAGTTCGGTTCCTAGCACCCACATTGGGTAGCTCGCAACTGTATCTCCAGCTCCAGGAGATCCAGTGCCTTCTTCTGACTTATGTGACCACCCATACCCATGTGACATACACTCATGTAGACATATACTTAATAAAATAAATCTTTAGGTCTAGAGAGATGGCTCTGCAATTAATAGTACTTCCCATTCTTACAGAGAACCTAGGTTTGGTTCCCAGCACCCATATGCATCTCACAACCATTCTTCAAGTTCCAAGGGATCTAGCACCTTCCTTTGGACTCCACAGATGCTAGTCATGCACAACGTGCACATTGTGTACATGCAAGCAGAACACTCACACACGTAATTAAAACAGAAAGAAGCAGTAAGATGGCCTTTTACAGGGTCAGAGGGAATATGAGACAGGATTGTCGGGGACAGATGATGGTGCTTGTGTGCCAGGTGGAGAAGCTCTCAAACTGTTTTGTGTAGTCACCTGGAGGGTTCGCCAGATACGGATTGCTATCTTCTACCCTACGATTTCTGGTTCAGTAGATCTGGGCTGGGCCCAGTAACTTAACACTCCTTTCCCCTCTCTACTCTGTAGATAGAACACAGGGCTTTATGTATACCAGGCAAGTATTTTACCACTGAGCTAAACCCTTATAATTTGCATTTTTAACATTTCCCTGGACCTACACAGTACACATAGGAAATCTGAGTCTTGATGAGTTTGAGATTCATGAAAAGGCTGTTTAAAAATTAAATTTTCCTTGCACCTCACTGTGAAGTAATTAGTCATAATTACTAGCTATTAATTAAATGTAACTGTTCTTTGATAATGTTTTTTTTTTCCTTTGAGAAAACTAATGATCCCATTTTAGTAATGTTTTTTAAGATCTAGTATGGTTATTTTTTTGAGTTTGGCCCGATTCCTTCCTGGGTTGGGTTCAGATGGGAACATGGAACAGGAAGCCGACACAATCATGCTCCTGCCTCCTCACCCAGACCACTCCAGGCCTGGATCAGTGGAGGCATGGGTAGTAGCTGAGGTAGGGTGGGACAGTGGGAGAGGACCTAGCTAGGATTCCTCTGTGAACATTATTAAATAATTGTAGACTTTTCAGATATATGTTACAGATTCTGGAATTTTTTAACTTCATGGTTAAGGGGATATGTGCTTACAGCAAAAACTGAGTTTCTCTATTTTTGCTTAGAATTTCAGACATAGAAGTGATTAATATATGTAAATTCTATGCTTCTTGATATGAAAATGATTAATGATTTGCATGCTTGCATCTGAGGTAAAGCACCTCAACCAATGCATGTCTCCATTTACAAGTACAGCTCTGCTTATGCACAAAAGTCAGTGCAGTATATATTATTGTATTGTTTATGAAAGAAGTTTACAGTCGGGTTTCAGACACATTTATGAGGTTGTATCTATTTTCAGATGCTGTTGAAGTGATAACTATGTAGAAGCACACCCTTAATAGGAACACAGGGATTTGGAAGGATTGGTTGTTGGTTTGTTTTTGTTTTTAACTTTTTATTTTGTGTGCTTTTCTTCCTGCCTTATTCTTCACACTGGTGTTTTTGTTTCTTCAGCTACTCAAGGATTATACAGCCTGATGTAATCTTACAGCAAGTCAGTCAAAGGGAGTGTCAACATCTCCATTTCCTTGAGATGTTTAAAATCCAGACAAGCAAATAATAGCTACATAGAACCCACAACCAGTTTTGGGCCTCAGATAATAATTCCAGGTAGAATAATTCTGGAAAATAACTCTTAGGTTAGCATTTTCTCTAAAATCCTTTCTATTTACACAACCTAAAAAAGATCAAGAATCTGGCTCCATTAGTTTATATAAATGTAGCCCAGGTTTTAGACAATAGATTCATCCTTTTACTGATTCTGCTTCTGGATTTTTTTTTCCCCATCTTGAATTTCCTTTATAAGGTCATTATTTCTCCTTATTTGTTTTTCCCTTAAAATAGGACAAAGACAAATACCAGTTTGGTAAGACAAAAATTTTTTTCCGTGCTGGTCAAGTGGCCTATCTAGAAAAACTAAGGGCTGACAAACTGAGGGCTGCCTGCATCCGGATCCAGAAAACCATTCGTGGGTGGCTGCTAAGGAAGAAATACCTATGCATGCAGAGGGCAGCCATCACCGTGCAGCGATATGTGCGGGGCTATCAGGCTCGATGGTAGGTCTTCTTATGGCCTGATGGGCCTCGTATACTTCATGGTCCATTCTAGGACAGGTCTGAATGAGAAGATAGTGGCTCACTCACTATTCATTTCAAAGCATAGCAGATTTTCTCACAAGACAATTAAAGAGAACAAAGTTTCACATGGATTTGAATTGCTTCCCACTTGGGTGTGTAGAATTTGTGCATCTCTTCCTGTAACATGGAACCTGAAGAACTTGTATGTAAATTAAAATGGCCATGAATTTGAGACATTAATCCTGACTATTCAGGAGCAATTAGTTGAGAAAAGTTTTAGCAAAGCATTATAGTTCAGTGTCATTACATATACAGAGAATTTTAATTTAGAGGTACACGTAGAAGTGAATTAATTGGTAAAGAACACATACTCGGAAAAAGATGGTACTAGAACAGTACAGTGATCTAATATAGCTGGATAGCTGGTGAGTAAGTACGTACTTACTATGTGCATCAGTTTGCTATGTGAAGGAAACATAGCATGGGACAGTGATCCCGTCCTAGAAAGAATAAAGCTTTATGAACTTCCTTTTCTTTATTGTTAAATGTGACAATGTGGGACATCCTGCTTTTCAAAGTTAGGGAAACCCCAATGAGAAGACACTTTAAAAGCTACATCTTGCTGAACACATGTAAGTAAATATAAATGCTTTTAAGTCAGTATGCCTGAGACATTGATGACAGCAACCTTAATGACTGATACTGCACCACTATTTTTTTTTTTTTTTTTGGCCAGCTATGCTAAGTTTCTGCGCAGAACCAAGGCAGCAACCACCATTCAGAAGTACTGGCGCATGTATGTGGTCCGCAGGAAGTACAAGATCAGACGAGCTGCCACTATTGTTCTTCAGTCTTATTTGAGAGGCTACTTGGCAAGAAATAGGTATCGCAAGGTAAGACACTGTTTTCAGGTTTGTTCATGCAGTCCAGTAATATTAAACATATCCTCTATTTATACCAACTGCCACAGGAACTGCTGTGGGCAGAGAAGCCAGGTGGAGATAACTAACAACCGAAATGTATGCTAGTATTAAGTAATTAGATATACTTGTTAACAATACACTACAAAAGAAAACATATTTCCCATTTCCATTTGTTTGTATAATTTGTAAAATTAAAAAGGTGAATGAGAAATAAAAATCACAAACTTGGTTGCTAACAACGGTACTTATTTTCTCGGGTTTCTAGAGGCCAAAAGTCTAAAAGCTCTGGACGGTATGTACCCATAGACATATCAGTCTCCCTGTCAGTTCTCTAGTAAGGGGAGCAGAGGCTGTCTCTGACATGAGACAGTTACCTGCTCTTTGATCACTCCCCTCTGGAGGGTCAACCTAGACAGCCCCCAGAGAAAGAAGATCCAGACAGTCCTGATGAGACCTGATAGGCTAGGGTCAGACAGTAGGGGAGGAGGACCTCCTCTGTCAGTGGACTAGAGGAAAGGATTGGGGGGGGGGGAGGAAGGATACAAAATGAACGAACTGTAAATAATAATAATAATAATAATAATAATAATAATAATAATAATAATAAAAATCAGCAGTACCACATTCTCCAAAAGCCCCAAGACAGAATGCATTCCTTGTCCCTTCTAGTAGTAGCCTGTACTCTGGCCATATTCCTCCTATCTCTGTTTTATCTTTATATCATTTGTCTCTTACAAAAATAATAATGGAGCTAGTTAGATTCCCCAGAACCCACATCGTGGAAGGAGAGAATCAACTCCCACATATGTCTCCACCAAAGTAATTGGTTTTTTGAGGCATTTTTAAAATTGTGATGCTATTTAGGTTCCACTTTCATAATCCCAGGTAATATCTCCATCTCAAGATCCTTAACCTAGTCACATCTACAAAGCCTCTTTTTCCAAATGAAATCACAAATACAAGTTCTAGAGATTAGGATGTTTTGTCATTGGGGTCCATTATTCAGACAGTTACAGAGAGGTAAATTACACAGATAGGTTAAATCGACAGGTGGACAGAAGATCAACTAAAGAATGAGAAAAGCTTAAAAGAATTTATCATGAAGAAAAAATAACTATAATATTTGTATGGTGAAAATTATATTGACTAGAATATGGTGCATTTCTGAGACAGTGTGTGTTTGTGTGCTTTGCAGGCTTGTCAGTGTGTGAGAATGTAAGTTGTTCGTGCATATGTAGAGAGCAGAGCAGGACTTCTGTTGTCTCCCTTGTTACCTTGAGGCAGAGTCTCTCACTGAAGCACAAGCTCTTGGCCAGGCTACAGGCAGCAAATCCCAAGTCAGCTTGTCTCCTCTTGTCAGTGCTGGGGTTACGGGACATGCTTGGCTTTTTCTGTAGGTGCTTGGGATTCACATCCAGGTCTTCACGTTTACACAGCAAGCCGTCCTCACCCACTAAGCCATCTTCCAAACCAAAAGATTTCCAGGAAATCTGTTTTCCATGTGCTACTGGGGCTGATGTCAAGGCTGTGTGCATAATGACCATACAGTTGTGTACTAAGCCACACTCTCGGTCTTAAAGGAAACCTTTGTATCATAGGATAATTAATGATACTCTGTAGATCACAGGTCACTGATGAATCTTTTATAAAACATGCATGTGGTTCTGTGTGTGCGTGTGTGCATAGAAAGGGTAAGCGCAGATGGCAGAGGAAACTTACAGGACTTGATTCTTTCCATCATGTGGGTTCCAGGGAACAAACTCTTTCTTAAAAATTGTTCACATTGTCTCTAATTAATGTCTTTAGTGACAAGAAGTTTATCTCATAAGGCATCTCTTTTTTTTTTTTTCTAAGTTGTAATAAATTTAAGAGATTACCATGAGAGCCGGGCATGGTGGCCAGGTCTTTAATCCCAGCACTTGGGAGGCAGAGGCAGGCAGATTGCTGTGAATTCAAGGTCAGCCTGGACTATACAAAGAAACCCTGTCTAAAAAAAAAAAAAAACACACACACAAATAAGCAAACAAAAAAAGATTATCATGACTTTAAAAAAGTAAAAATAAGATGACTTTATTTTACATTTTCTTGCTTTTAGCTTTCTCTTTAAAGCTCTATTCCTCAACCTTATCATCCATAACAGATTCTTGCTGCATTAGAAACAGCAGCAGTAGGAAATCATACTAGAATGATACATCTCAAATGAGGCAGAAAAAAGCATCAACTGGAGGCTGAGGAAGGTAGTTCTCGCCCTTAAACCCAGTACTAAGCAGAAAGAGGCAGTTGGACCTCCATCGGTTTGTGGCCAGACTGGTCTTCATAGTGAGTTCCAGGCCAGCTCTCTCAAACAAATAAACAAAAAGAGTGTCACCTTCTGTTTCAGGAGTAGGGTCAATAAGTCATTAATAACCTTTCGCTGGATCAGGTGTCAGCCTCTCAGCCAGCTTATTGGCCGTCCTCATGCCCGCACGTGTAGACCTAATACATAGGGAAGCAGTGTAGTGGGACAATCTTATTTAATAACATATGGTTCACAAAGTTCCTGGTTCTTGGTACTTTTTTCCTACTTACCAGCAGAGATCATACACTAATTAGGAAACTGATACTTTTTTTGTGTTCTTCATAGAATCTTTCTGTTTTGCATTTCTCATATTTTTTATTTAGACTGTTTCCAATTCTATGCTTTGTTTATAGTCATATTCATATGTGTATATGTAATAACATATAGATATAAAATAGAGTTAGAAAAGTGGACATTGAAAGGTGATTTGAGAAATATATACACCTACATATTTTTTAAATGCGCCTTTATATTTTGGGAATGTATAGTCCACATAAGAACACTGCTGATTCAATTTTTTGTCTTTCTCTCCTGTAAGGAATTCTCAGTTTGACATACAGAGGTGGATAGACTTGAACTTTGGGTCTAGCGTCTCACGTTATCTGCCTTTTTCTGCAGATACTCCGCGAGCACAAAGCAGTCATCATTCAGAAACGTGTCCGTGGCTGGCTGGCTCGTACACATTACAAGAGGACCATGCAGGCCATCATCTACCTTCAGTGTTGCTTCCGGCGGATGATGGCCAAGCGCGAGCTGAAGAAACTGAAAATCGAGGCTCGCTCAGTGGAACGCTACAAGAAGCTCCATATTGGCATGGAAAACAAGATCATGCAGCTGCAGCGCAAAGTGGATGAACAGGTGTGGTTTCACCGGAGCCCTGAAGCTATAGCACAGCTGAGGAAAGCCACTGGGCTGGTTCTTAGCAGCTACTCCGCTTGACTACCCTGAGTCCTAGGAACAGACAGGAATTTATTATTTAAAACACCCTACTCCAAACCTGAATGATCGCGGCTCACAGTGTAATTTACACTGTGCAGAACTCTCTCACTACTGCCGTTTTATTTGTCTGTGTATCTACTCTAACAGTTGTTTGGCACTGCAGTGGCAAGAGAAGCAGAAAGACGTCCAGGCTTCTGAGAAGCCCACAGTCTGTTTGCAGAGAGAAAATTCTATTGCTTAGCAGTAGGTACTAACTAGTATTTTATCACATGCAAATGATAGAAAGGTAATTAAGAGATAAGGAGAGCAAGGAGAGATGGGTCAAAAAGAAATAAGATTTATTAGATTTTTTGAATGACACGAGAGGAGTTTTGAGATTTGTAAGTAACTAATGATTCTTAAGTCTACTTTTATCATTATTATTCATATTCTATCTAGTACAAGAACTCATTTTTTATTAGCCCCAAGTTCTGACCTAGTAGGCAGATGCTATCACTGAACCAAAATCTCAAGCCGTAAGATAGAGTGGATTAAACATGTATTTCAGGTACACAGGAACTGAGATGGGAGAATTGCCTCTCAAATTTAAGGTCACCCTGAGTTATAGTGTGAGCCTGGGTCTCAGAAACAACACATAAACACAAATTCTTGTGTATATGTATATCTCCATAGTCTAGGCCCTTATTGAATTACATAGGCTGGCCTAGAAGTTGCACCACTCCTGTCTCTGCCCATCAAGTAGATGAAATTACTGGTTTGTGTTGCCACCTCCAAGTTTAGTACATGGTTTTTAATATTACTTTAAAATGTACTCAAAAAACAACTATTTCTTCTCTTAATTTATTTATTTATTTGTTTGTTTTAATTTTACGTGTATTGGTATTTTAATTGCATGTATGTCTGTGTACCATGTGTGTGCCTGGTATATGGAAGCCAGAAGAAGGTCAGATTCCCTGAAACCAGAGTTATAGATGGTTATAAGCCACTATGTGGGTGCTGGGAATTGAACCAGATCTTCTGGAAGAGCAGCAGTTCCCGTAATCAGTGAGCCATCTCTATAGCCCCTCCCCTTACTTCTGGATTAAGAATTAGGAAATTCTGGGGGTAGAGGAATGGCTCAGTGGTTAAGAGCATTCCAGAGGTCCTCTGAGTTCATTTCCCAGCACCCACATGATGGTTCACAATCATCTGTAACTGTAGTCCCGTGGGATCTGATGCACTCTTCTGGTGTACAAATGTACATATAGGCAAAACACTCATAATCATAAAGTACACAAATAAATCTTAAGAAAAAATAATGGGGGGGGAGGGCTGGAGAGATGGCTCAGCTGTTAAGACAACTGGCTGCTCTTCAAGAGGACCTGAGTTCAATTCTCAGCTCACAGCTGTCTATAACTCCAGGTCCAGGGGATCCAACCCCTTCACACAACAGCCACATATGTAGGCAAAACAACAATGCATATAAAAAATAAAAATAAAATAAATTATTAAAAAATTAGGAAGTTAAGAATTTACTGTGAAACTTTATTTGTGATTATGAGAAAATTCCATCTATGATGTTTATCATATAAAACAGAATTGATTGATCTGTGAAGGAGCCAAGCAGGTAGGAACTGATGCCCATAGCCTTGTCTACTTATAAGGAAATGTGTTGTCACTGTGTCCTGATTCTGATGCTCAGTGTTGTTGGCTATTTTATTTGATTATTTGTTTGTTTGTTTGTTTTTAATTTTGTTTTGTTTGTTTCAAGACAGGGTGTCACTATGTAGCTCTGGCTGTCCTGGAACTTACTCTGTAAACCAGGCTTGCTTTGAACTCAAAGAGATCTACCTCCCTTTACCACCTAAGTGCTGGGATCAAAGGTGTGGGCCATCACACCTGGCTCGGTGTTGTTTTTAATGCAAGGTTGTATTGTCATTTCAGTATAGCAAAGTTGGTCAGAGTCTATCTCAGTGCTATGATGATACAAAAAGAATTCATAGCTGGAATTGCAGTATATAACCTGCCTTTACTCCCAGCACTTCAGAGGCAGAGACAGATACAGAGGAAGGCAGATTTGATGAGTTCGAAGTCAACCTGGTCTATATAGTGAGTTTCAGACCAGCCAGTGCTGTATAGTGAGACCTTGTCTTGAAAAGAGAATTCATAGCTGGACTTCGTGGTATATAATCTGAGGCAGAGGATCGTGAGTTCAAGGCTTTGGGTTGCCTAATAAGTTCTGGATCAGCTGGACTAAATAGTAAGACCTAGTCTCCAAAACAAAAGGAAAAACCTAGAAGAATCTAATTCTCATGGCTTCCTCATTCACTACATGTAATTGGACGTTCATATTATAAACATTTACTTATTGTTACTACTGTTTGTATTTAAAGAATAAAGACTACAAATGCCTCATGGAGAAACTGACCAATCTGGAAGGAGTATACAACTCTGAGACTGAGAAACTACGAAATGATGTAGAACGTCTTCAGCTAAGTGAGGAGGAAGCTAAGGTTGCCACTGGGCGGGTCCTTAGTCTGCAGGAAGAAATTGCCAAACTCCGCAAAGACCTAGAACAAACTCAGTCAGAGAAAAAAACCATCGAAGAACGAGCAGATAAATACAAACAAGAAACTGAGCAGGTAGGAAACAGTATTTTTGTCCGCATTGTCCCTTGCACAGAGTAATGCTGTCATTCTGGCCTGCTTCCTCTGAATCCATATTCATTTTATTGGAAGACATGATGCAAGTTTCGGTGCTTCACAGTTTGTACAGACGTTTCCCATGATTAACAGGCAGGTTGTGGTCTTGGAATAGAACATTTAACAAAGCAAGGTTTCAACAGTGAAAATTTATATCTGTGTACTGCCTTTATATGTTTTCTGTTTCTATAAAAAAATGCCTCAGACTAAGTAATTTATAAAGATTAGATAAATTATAAAGATCCACTCAGTATAAGTAGGCAAGGTACGGGCATTGTTTCCTACCTGCTTGGCCCCTTCCATAATCTAACCAATGGCACAGAACAATCAGTTCTGTTTTATATGATAAACAACATACATGGAGTTTTCCCATACTCACAAATGAAGTTTCACAGTAAATTCTTCCTTAGCCATGTTTCTGGAGGCTGGGAAGTACGAGAGGATGGTACAGTGTCTGGTCAAGACTTTAACATCAAACATCAGGGGACCACGTGGCAAGAACAAGTGTGCCGCTTTTATAACAGAACCACTCCCTCAGGAACGCATCCGTGCATAAACAGGTTACCCTGTTGATGAGGGCACAGTCTTCACCGCCCAGGTGTCTCCCTAAGGTCCCACCTCAGATATTAACAGTGAATTTAAGGGTATTGAGAGAAGGCCCACATCACGGTGTTTATTAGACTCTTTCAGTGTGGACTTGATGAGATGTAGACTTCTTGCTCTTGATGGTGGACGCTGTAATTCTGAGGCAGATCAGTGAACTGTCAGTGCCTGACATTGCAGTAGGAATTCCTGTGGAAACCCGTATTAAACTGCTACATCCAAGTCGGGGAAATCTAGGTTGGAGCTGCTGTGCAGATGGAACTCTCCAAATGTTCAGTCATCCATGCTTCCATGCTATGAATCTAATTTATGTTAAAACTTATTGAGCATAGGAAATAGCAAGGCTCCCAAGAAAGGTAAAGAAGTATTTAAACACTTCTAAAAGACCCTCACAATTGGGCTTCCTGGGAAGTAGTAATTGATTTTGAGTGAGTCCACAGAGATCACTTTCTCTAGATGAAAACAGCTGAATTCTCAATTGCAACTGATTAATCCTCACTTGCTTCTTCCGCACCGGATTCTGATCATTGGACAGCCTCTTCAGGCAGAGCTGACATGCACTGCAGGCAAAATGCTATAGCCAGTAAAATTACTGCCCTGTCATGCTGCTCATGCTCCATATAATTTCTCCTGCATCTGAGTCAGACCCCAACTCCACATAGAAACTTCAGTCCCGGTGTGCACTGTTGTTTGTCCTGGCGAGTTTGTTCTTACATAATTCAAATATGCATTCTAAGGGATACCGTGAGTGTTTAAGATCTTTTTTCTTCCTTAGTCTCTAAAAGCTTTTGATTCCCCTGTGAAGATGCCTCTTTCTTTTTATCATATTTTACTTCCTTCCTTCCTTTTCTTTTATCGTGTGTGTGTGTGTGTGTGTGTGTGTGTGTCTGTGTGTGTGTATCTGTGTGTGTTGCTGGGGATTGACTCTTTTAAAACCTCATTACTCTTTCAAAAAGGAAGGCAAGGTCCAAGATGAACTGATTAGAGAGAACCAAAGAGTCAGACTTTAGGGTTCCTACCTTGCTGTCTCTGGTGCACCAAATAGTGGTAGAAGGTGGTAGATGCCAGCCCAAGTAGACAGGTAAGAAAAGTCCTGAAATGAAACTGAGTCAAGCAGTTCTGTGGGACCACTGAATCTTTTCTCCCTGTGTGTTTAGATCTGATTTGCAACATTTATTTAAAAAAAAAGATGGGCTCCAAGAGGAGTAGCAGGGTGTACGTATGGTAAAAATTTATTGTATATAATACATGAGTGAAATTCTCAGAATAAATTTTTAAAAGATTACATTTTTTAGCGACTTTATGGGATTGGAGAGATGTGTCAGCTGTTAAGGGTGTCTCTTCCAGAGGACCATGAGTTGGTGCAGGGCCAACTCCTGGGACTATGAGCAACCTACCAGGGGCTGCACCCCAGAAGAAAGTCTGTAATTGCAGCTCTGGGGCGTTCGGCACTCTTTTCTGGCTGTGGACACACCCACACATGTGGCATGCACTCACACATATACATAAACTTTTTTTTTTTAGGACTCATATCCTTAATCTCCTTAATCTGCCCATTTGAGCTGTGGTGGTCTGGCGGTATGGTGAGAAGGTGTTTGGCTAATCTTAGTGGTCAACTTGACAAACTGGGAAGAGGGGAATCTCCAAGAACTGTCTCTCTCAGAATTTCCTTGAACATGTCTATGGGGTGTTTTCTCAATCGCTAACTGACACTGGGAAGGCCCAGCACTCTGTGGTTGGAAACATTCCTAGGCATATGGGCCTGGGCTATATAAGAAAGATAGCTGAACCTGAGCCTAGGAGCAAGCTCAACTCCGTGGTTTCTTCTTCAAAATCCTGCCTTGATTGGTGATGGATTGTGACCTGGACATGTAAGATGAAATAAGCCCTTTCCTCCCCAAATTGCTTTTGGTTAGGGTATTCTGTCACAGTGATAGGAATCAAAATAGAACATGGTGATATCCCAGCTTTGAGAACAAACGTTTACTAGATGCTAGGAAGATGCTAATGTTCATGGTACAAGTAAAACAAGCACTGTCATTGTCCTGGTCCTTCAAGATATGTCTAGTATACTGGAGAAGACGGAAAATAAAGCATTTATAGGGACTTAAAGAGGCAAACACAGAGTCTTGCAACAGCCCAGAACAAAGGCCTCTAATGGAGGGGGTTTTCATGAAGTTCTCTGGAGAGAGTAAATTTGTGACAAAGTGTGGCAGGTGACAAGACATACCTAGGTGAAGACAGTGACAATGGGACATCTCGGTCTCCTGCAACCATCTCAGCTTGGTTTCATTTTATAGCTGGTGTCAAACTTGAAGGAAGAAAACACTTTGCTGAAGCAGGAAAAGGAGACCCTCAATTACCGCATTGTGGAGCAGGCAAAGGAGATGACAGGTAAGGCTGTGTGTCTCAACCTAGCGTACAACAACCAACTTCAAGCCGAAGCTTTGTAAGTTTGACATTATGTTATCAGTTACAGTCTGCTTAGAGCCGAAATAAGTTTAAAAGTACGTTTACAAGAAAGAGTCCCAAATATTTTAATAAAATTAGTAAACTTACAAACTTACAAATGCTCAGCTGTATTTTAGAACTTTTATTTAACTTCTGTCCAAATATTCCCCCCACCAATCCTACAGCTTTCCCAGTCCCTTTGACCATTTTTTTTCCCACAGTCTCCTCTATCTGATCAGTTTTTAAAGCATCTTTAATGAGTGAGAACATACAGTCTTTCTGGGCCTCACTTCGTTCAGTTCTCTTTGCTCCAAATTAAAAATAAAAACTAATTTTAAAATAAAGAACGAAGGATGTATGCACATCTTTTATTTGTTGATTATGGGGTTGATTAAAATTTTTATAAGTAGAAGGAACCCATCAGATTGGCCTGTAGGCATGTCTCATGTGGAACATTCTCTTGATTGCTAACTAATGTAGCCCAGCCCACTGTGGGTGGTACCATCCCAAGGCAGGTAGTTGTGGGCTGCATAAACAAAGGTAGGTAAAAGAGAGCCTACAAGCAAGCCAATAAGCAGTATCCTTTCTGCTTCCGTTCTTACCTCTACATTTCTACTTGAGCTCCTGCCCTGGTTTGCCTCGAAGATGAACTGCATGTAACCTGTAAGCTAAATAAAACCTTTTTCTTCCCCTAGTTTTTGCTCAGTTTTATCACTGTCATAGATGGAGGAGAAAGTAATCCAGAGTAAAAATTGGAGAAATAGTAAGGAATGAGCCAAAGGTTCCCCTTAAGACTATGGTAATAAGAGCCCTCTGTACTTTCCCTCCCTCCAGTTAAAGATGATGTACAGGTACAAGAAGAAATCCTGAAGTCAAAATAAAGTGAAGACAAGAAGCCAGAAGAAAATGTTAAAAGAAACAAAAGAAAATAGTTACTGAAGGATAGAAAGATGGCTTCTAGGATGTAGACTGTCAGGAAGGACCCAGAATGATAAAACATTTCTAGGAAAGTAACAATGTTTTCTCAAGTTAACTATAGGGGCAGAGAAGTAAGAATGGATTTGTCTAGAAATTTTTGTTGGACAACTTGGACTAGCTTCTACAAACTGGTGGGAGCAAAGGACAATTTATATATAGAATGTCTTGGAAAATTTTTTCATTCATAAATTTGCAAATTATGGAATCCCTCCCTTAGGAAAGCACTGTGGGGAGCATATGGAAAGCAGTAGGGGCAAGACTCTTGTATGCCTTGCCTCATGGAGCAGACAGAGAATCAAATGATAAAACAATAAAAGCTGGTAGGGCAGTTTGAGACTAACCCACAAAATATAAGAATACAAGAGCATATTGGTAGGAAACCCGATATTATAAAAGCAACTGGTTGAGTCACTGGGTTATAATATATGGCTTCTTTTTAAAGGCGTTTCTTATGTAATTTAATCTCATGTGTATGGGTGTTTTGTCCGCATTTATATCTCTATGCCATGTGTGTGTCCAGTGTCTATGGAAGTCAGAAGAGGGTGCTGAATCCCCTAGATTTGAAGTTATAGACTGTTACAAGTTATAAGCCACCAGGTGGGTGCTGGAAATTAAAACCAGGTCCTCTAGAAGCAGCCAGTATTCTTGACTACTGAGCCCTCATGCATAGCTTCTTTATTGTTTGCTGCCTGCAGTCAGTGGCTAATCTCTGAACTCCAGACCACGTCTAGCCAGAAGCGAGCCAGCAGAACAGGCAGAATGAGGTGGGTAACTGGAAAAGTTAGGGTTCCTTAAGACGGTAAGAAGTGAGTACCACAGCCTAAGATTCACGTTACAAGTGGAGGGTAGCAGGATAGCAGGAGTTCAGGGAGGTAGGAGGTTGTAGGATAGAACCATGGGACTGAGCTACAGAGACTAGAGAGGCCAGGCTCCTTGGAAGTCGCCATCCTCTTTCTCCACAACCTCTCCAGCTTGTGTTGTCACTTGAGTTTTTATCTCAGCCATTCTCATGGGTGTAAGGTGAAATCTCAGCGTCGTTTTGATTGGCATTTCTCTGATGACCAAGGATGTTGAACATTTCTTTAAGTGTTTCTCTGCAATTTGATGTTCCTCTATTGAAAATTCTCTGTTTAGCTCTGTTCCCCATTTTTTAAATGGATTAATTGATTTGTTGCTGTTTAACTTCTTGAGTTCTTTATATATACTGGATATTAGCCCTCTGTCAGATATAGGATTGGTGACGATCCTTTCCCAATCTGTAGGCTGTCATTTTGTTCTGATAACAGTGTCCTTTGCTTTACAGAAGCTTTTCAGTTTCATGAGGTTCCATGTATTGATTGTTGATCTTAGAGCCTGTGCTGTTGGTGTTCTTTTCAGGAAGTTGTCTCCTGTGCCAATGAGTTTAAGGCTGTTCCCCACTTTTTCTTCTAACAGGTTTAGTGTGTCTGGTTTTATATTGAGGTCTTTGATCCACTTGGATTTTAGTTTCGTGCAGGGTGATAAGGATCTATTTGCATTTTTCTATGTGCAGTCTTCCAGTTAGACCAGCACCATTTGTTGAAGATGCTATCTTTTTTCCATTGTATGGATTTGGCATCTCCATTGCTGGTAGGAATGTAAACTTGTACAACCACTTTGGAAATCAATCTGGTGCTTTCTCAGACAATTAGGAATAGTGCTATCTCAAGATCCAGCTATACCACTCCTAGGCATATATCCAAAAGATGTTCAAGTATACAACAAGGACATTTGCTCAGCCGTGTTTGTAGCAGTAATAGCCAGAACCTGGAAACAACCCAGATGTCCTTCGGTTGAGGAATGGATACAGAAATTGTAGTACATTTACACAATGGAATATTACTCAGCATGTAAAAGCAAGGAGATCATGAAATTTGCAGGCAACTGGTGGGATCTAGAAAAGATCATCCTGAGTGAGGTATCCCAGAAGCAGAAAAACAGACATGGTATATACTCACTTATAAGTGGATATTAGACATATAATATAGGATAATCATACTAAAATCTGTACACCTAAGGAAGCTAATCAAGAAGGAGGACCCTGGGTAAGATGTTCAGTCTTCATTCAGAAAGGCAAACAGGACGGACATCAGAAGAGGGAGAAAACAAGGAAGAGGACAGGAACCTACCACAGAGGGCCTCTGAAAGACTCTACCCAGCAGAGTATCAAAACATATGCTGAGACTCATAGCCAAACTTTGGGCAGAGTGCAGGGAATCATATGAAAATAGGGGAGGATAGAAAAACCTGGATGGGACAAGAGCTCCACAAGGAGAATCAAAAAATCTGGGCACGGGGTCTTTTGTGAAACTGATACTCCAACCAAGGACCATGCATGGAGATAACCTAGAACCCCTGCACAGATGTAGCCCATGGCAGCTCAGTGTCCAAGAGGGTTCCCCAGTAATAGGAACAGGGGCTGTCTCTGACATGAACTCAGTGGCTGGCTCTTTGGTCACCTCCACCTGAGGGGGGAACAGCCTTACCAGTCCACAGAGGAAGACAATGAAGCCAGTCCTGATGAGAACTGATAGACTAGGGTCAAATAGAAGGGGAGGAGGGCCTCCCCTATCATTGGACTGGGAGAGGGGCATAGGAGAAGAAGAGGGAGGGAGAGTGGCATTGGGAGGAGATAGGCAAGGGGGCTACAGCTGGGATACAAAGTGAATAAGCTCTAATTCATAAAAATAAAATAAAAATGTTTAAAAAGTCACCATTCTCTTGAAGAATGACTTTAAGTCATTAATTGACCAAAGGAATTTATGAATATTGAAAGATCCCTGGAGGGTATCTTCGTCTGAGAGACCCCTGCCCAAGGATCAACGAGTCCAGGCGTTTGGATGCAAACAGCAAGAGGCTTTTATTGAATACTCGGGTACCCGGGGCGAAAAGTCATTCGGGAGACTTCCGCGTCCCCTTGGTGGAAAGCTGGGGTTTTTATAGGGTTTTAGAGCAGAAGCGTGGGTACAGAAGCGAGAAGCATGGTTACAGGGAACTGATTGGCACGTTTACATGAGACCGCAGTTTGCGTCAAAGTTTGGCAGGGGCGCCAGGATTCCAGGAACTGGGTGGTCAAAACGGTCATGATGACCCCTTAACGTGGCCCGCCACCTGTTATTTTGTTTTTCCCTATCTCAGTTGGAGCAATCTCTGACAGATATCCCATGAGGGTGGTTACAACAAGTTGTTTTTAGCTCAACAGGGGCAGCCTGACCGCAGATATCCCAAGTGGGTGACACAGCTGGGTTTCTTAGTAATTTTCCAGCTTTTCATCTGGCCTTCAGAGTTTTACAAAACAGTGGTGTCCCACAAAATGGCGTTAGCTATGTTTAACTTAGGGTGAGGCAGGGGTCTTTCAATATCAGAATTAATAAGTAACTCATACCAGGCCTAAGGACCTAAATTCAATCCCTGGGTTATATGGGGGATGAAGAGAATTGATTCACACACACACACACGCACACACACTATAAAAATATTTTATTGGATTTTAAGATTATCCTAAATCAACACTATTGGAATAAAAAGTATATGTGCCACCACTTTATTTCCTAAGAGAATACTATTGAAAAATATATTTGTTTTATTTTGTTATTGCTTACTAGAAAAGTATGTAGTGGAAGTTTATCCAGAATTTCTTGTAATCTGGGTGTAATGGTACACACCCATAATCCCAGCACTGAGGAAATTGAAGCAGGATGGACTGCATAGTTCTAGTGCCAGGTTAGGCAGGGCTACATAGCAAGACTGTCTCAAACAACAAACAAATAGAAATGTGTTTGGTCAGTGTGTGAATTTAATGGGACCAAAGCTATAATACATGGAGAGCTTTATAGGTGAGAGTTATCATTCTTTTCTTTCTACATTCACAAGATACTCTCATGGGTCTAAAAGTCAGTTCCACTAGGAGAAACCACAAGTCAGCGGACCTGCTTACACTCTTGAATTCTGTGCCGCTACCTCTGTATACATATCCCATTCCAGTTTTGAGGGAGGATTGGTTTTGTTCTGTTTTGTTCGATAAAGTTTATTATAATGTTGAACAGATTCCTGAGCAGTATGTCATCCTAGGTTGGTGGAGTCTAGATGATAAGTAAGAATGGGATTGCCATCATCTCTGGCACAAGAAAAAGCTGTTTTATTGACTTCCTAATCTCACCTGTGGCCAGGGCCCCTTCCCAGGGCCTTTCATCGTTAGCCCCTGAGTTTCTTCTGTTATCCTTTGGTTTCTGATGGACGGTCCAGCTTCCCCCTCTGTCTCTTTGGGCTGCTTCAGGGGCCTTTTCTTGCCACCATGCCACCTGTCACCTTTCCCAGGCACTGACCCTCTATATCCTCGTGTTTATTTCAGAAACGATGGAGAGGAAGTTAGTAGAAGAGACAAAACAACTGGAGCTTGACCTGAACGATGAAAGGCTGAGGTACCAGAACCTTCTCAATGAGTTCAGTCGCCTGGAGGAGCGCTACGATGACCTCAAGGAAGAGATGACGCTGATGCTGGTCAGTCCAACACTGTTTTCTTTTTCCCTTAAGAGTTTTTCGGTGTAACCCAGGCTAGCCTTAGACTCAGGATCCTTCTGTTTCTACCTCCTGAGTGCTGGATTATAGGCATGGCCCATCAGACCTGGCTTCTGCTTTTATTTTTAAGTGAGAATTTTTAGTCATATATAAAAGTAAGTAGAATCGTAGAATGAGCCTCCATACACTCCATGTACCTATCTCTCGGTTCCCAAATAGTCCACACATCTCTGTTTTGTCTTTTATTCAGCATCTCTCCCCATTTATTTATTTATTTATTTATTTATTTATTTATTTATTTATCTATCTATCTATCTATTTATTTATTTATTTATTTAAAATAAGTACAAGAAATCATGCAGTAAAAAATAAATTAACGGTGGAACTATCAGATAGTATAAATTCAGTGTATCAAGACTCTGCTTCCTACATAGAATGACAGTATAAATCTTGTGTATTTATATTACATTATTTTTACATAACTGTTTTCTTCACTTGAGCTTATAATTTCCAAGTTAAATGCCCATAGAGAGAAAATCCATGTTGACAGTAATTTACGTTAGCTGTTTCAGGGGCTCTTCTGTCTGCGCCAGTGCACCTTCCAGGCTTGGAGTTGTTCCACCTATCTTGTTATCAGGAAACTGATTTCTCTGGCGCTCTTGTTCCTTCAAGGTAACCTAATAGTGCAAGTGGCCAGAATGCTTTCAGATAGATGTTGTAAACAGCAAATAAGTTGGAATCTGTAGGTTAGAATATTTACTTCAAATTTTGTCAATAGAAGGATTTGCTCGACAGAGATCTTTAAAACATAGCACAAAACTAGTGTTTGTAAGACTTCTCAGATGTGAAGACCTGATGAAAGGGAAGTTGAAGAGCACATTTAGATCCCACACTGGATGATTGCTTAACACACTACCCCACCCTACTAAGAGAAGTTCATAGGAGAGGGTCACTGTGGCCTGTGGTTGGTCAGTCTGAAGAATCTTGGCTGAGCCCTGACTTCCTTGATCTCCAGGCTGGTTAGGCCCCACTACACCTCCTCTCTTTACATTCTGTCCCCTCAGCTTTCTCCAGCATCCTGTTCCCCTCCCTCAATGTTCTCCCCCACAGTTCTATTCTTTGGTGTATTTTTATTTACACCCTTACCCACAAAACTGTACCAATATTTATGGTTAAGCTGTGTTTCAGTTGGATCTTACTGGGTACTTCGGAGGTCTCTGGTTATGTAGCAAACTCAGTAGCAAGGGAAAAGAAATGATTCTTTGAGTCTTCTCTGTACTGTGGACTGTCCTGGGATGTTCTGCTTCATTTTTTCATTCCCTATGAGTTTTTTGAACATTGATTGATATGGCATCATATGCCTAACTCTTAAAAGTATCTCCCAGATCTCCTAACTCATCATCATGATCCAGGGCCTTCAGTGGATTTTGAGAGTGTCTCGCTTACCTCACCTGTACTGTCTCAGTCTCACTGCTTACTCTACATATTTGTAGTATCTGTAAATGTGACAGAAATTATAGTCACCTATATCTTCTACTTAGTTTTTAACCACTTATGCTCAATTACCATGTAATGAATGCTTATGTCTGTTGTTTTCTATGTATTTTATGAACTTTCTGGTAACTTATTTTATTACAACACTAAAAGCATTACTTGAACAAATTGACTGACTACTCAAAACTTAAAAAACCCAAAGAGAGGCTTGAAGAATCCCAGTTGATAGAGTCCTTGCTTAGCATGGACCTAAAGGCCTGTGTTCCATCCTTAGCATTCATAAGTAGTGTGGTCCTCGTGCCTATAATCCCAGTACTCAGGAGGTAGAGGCAGGAGGATCAGGAATTAAAGCCATCTTCAGCTTCATAGTCAGTTCAAAGCTACACTGTTGTACAGGAGACCTGGGGACTCTGCTCATAGTCCCAGGTGATCCTCATTAGCTATTTGGTTTCATAACAGCTCCTGTCATGACAGCCTACCTTTCCCATTGGGGATGTCACCCACTGATAAGAATTTGATCAGTACAAGATGGAACCCTAGATTATTTTGCCATCAATACAAATCACTGAGTGGAGATCACCATGGAGACATTGTACTTGCTGTTGCCATTGTGCATAGTTCCATTATGCTGTGTGAATTGTATTTGTGTTATTTACCTTACAGAACGTTCCTAAGCCAGGACATAAGAGAACAGATTCTACTCACAGCAGTAATGAGTCTGAATACACCTTCAGCTCTGAATTCCCAGAAACTGAAGACATTGCACCAAGGACAGAGGTACATTTATCTCTCATTACAAGTAGGATGTGCATGCTTCTATTGATAGGCAGCATTTCTAAAAATTAGCTTATGTATTCTTAATTAGTTGTATACATATGTACTTATTCCATATGTTTTTGCCAATACATGTACTAATTTCATTTGTTCTGGTGCTGAAACCAAGCACCTTATATGTGGCAAGCATGTGCTCTGCCACTGAGCAGTATCCCCAGTTCCACATTATAATTTTAATGTAAGTTTTATAGCAGTGGGTTCTTTGCTGTCCCCATCATGGCTGTACCCCTGAGCCGTTTCTGCAGATAGCTCAGCTGCTGGCTGCATTTGCCCTGGACCCCTCACAGCATTTATAGGGCTGCTATGTGTCGCTTTAGAACCATTACCCTTCCCTGCTTCTGTAGACTGTTGGAGTCTTACTTTATTCCTGCGCTTCCTCACAGCTCACACCTGGGGAAAAGGCCGCCATGACTTTCTCAGCTATGGTAGGAGAAGTTCAAAATGACTGCCAAACCAGTGGTGGTCATTTTATTAGTGAATTTTCTTATCTTAATGATTGTCTTCAGTTGAGAGACTGATATTATTTTTAAGATCGATTTCAAAGTTTCACACACTCATTAAAGGCTTAAGTGACAAGGTCCTTACTAAAAAAGGAAAGGGAAAAAGATCCACATTTTCTCTTATCCAGATGGTCTAATACTCCTCCTTTCTCATGTGATCTAGAGAAGTCAAATGACCTTGCTATAAACAGAGATGCCAGTGAGGGCAAGGACACCATATGAGCACTCTGAAGTGTTTACCATTTGTTACACCTCAAATTGTTTTGTATTTGGCTAATGTTATCTTCTGTGCCCTACCTTTTCCTATTCTCATATTCCTATCTGTAGAATTTGTTCTCATATAGCAATCAATGGATTTCATATATAGCATTAACTGATAGCTGAAAATTACCTTAGTCTATTTTAATAAGATTCTTTTTTAAAATGCCCTTCCAAAGCCCAAAGAAATGATTTCCAATTAATAATATTGTAAGTATCATGAGTAAAGTACTATGCTCATGTATAGAATGGAGGATTCTGTTACAGTTTTTTGAATGTTAAAGTTTCAAACAACATATGCATTGCTAATAAATGAACAGATATTAAGGTACTTAAATGGAACGTTTAATTGTAAATCATCTAAAACGCCAGTATATGTAGGTGCTTTTGGTGGGCCAGCACAATGCCAGCACAATTGGTAAAATGCTTCTTGTTCAAACCTGATGACCTGAGCCTGAGCCCCACAACCCATGCTGGAAGGAGAGAACCAACTCCTGCAAGTTTTCTGTGACTTCCATGCATGTACCGTGTAACCGTATGAAAAAAAGCCAAAGAATAAAATTTAAAACAGCATTGAAATGTCACCTTTGGGCAACCAACTAAGCTGAAAGCTTTAATTTGTTGAGTTGTAGCATGACTGTTGTCCCAGAAATAGTTATGGTTATTGATGGAAGTGCCCCAGCTTACCAAGCTGCCAAGTGTTCTGTTTAGATATTTTGTGTTCCTGGATGTATACTTCAGTAACAGAAATTAGAAATCACCTCATTGCCCATCAGGAAGAGAATGATTCTCAGCAACTGGTAGCTCACCTGTCTATACAGTTAGACAGATAATTACAAAACAATTGCTGGAAGCACTTTGGCCTGCTGAGTCATCTGACCCTTTAATCTTAATTCTTAAACAGATTTGCTAGGGAAGGTGTGAATACACATCTAAGCTTCAGTAAATGCACTTAGATTTCCACAAGATTATTTATAGTTCACCAATATATGAGACATAGTTGCTAAGATGGGGCATTATTAACTTTGAAAGGCCACCTCTGGGCTGTTTGCCAGTCAGATAAGAGAGTAGTCCTGCACTATTGTTCAACTTGCATTTCTGCAGTCATTGGCTAGGACATTCTTTGGATGTTTGCATTTCTTCTGTGAATTTGACTGTTTGCTGATGAACTGCTTTCACTCTTTTCTCTTTGTCTTGTGAGTCTTCTGACTTCACTTGATTCTTACGGTTTCTGGGTTTTAGGAGCCAAGTGAGAAGAAGGTGCCTCTGGATATGTCATTGTTCCTTAAGCTCCAGAAGCGTGTCACAGAGCTGGAACAGGAGAAGCAGTTGATGCAGGATGAGCTGGACCGAAAGGAGGAGCAGGTGTTCCGCAGCAAGGCAAAGGTGGGTAGCTGTGGCTGGCCGCAGGGCTGGGGACAGCCTAAGGAGGCAAGGCCGTCCATGCCTTCTGTATTCTAAGGTCCTCAGCTCTGCAGCACTTCGTTAAAGCTGTGAAGGCTTGGACGCATCACTGCTTTCTGTACAGCAACAAGTATTCTAATAGTGAAGTTTTGACAGTTAAAATACAGTTTTTCCTTTATTTTTTCACCCCCAGGAAGAAGAAAGACCACAAATTAGAGGTGCCGAACTAGAATATGAGTCCCTCAAGGTATTGAAATCTTTAGCCCAAGACTTTGAATACTTTGTTTGACAAGATAGCTGCTAAGAATATGTCTTTTTTTCTCTGAGAACATTCCTAGCTGAAGGTTCTAGCCTAAATCTTAATGGAGCACTAGTTCTAGCCTATGTTCTTTTCACATACAAATTCTATTTCATGTAAGTCGGACTTCACTCTGAGCAAGAGTAACTGGTAACAGCCACTCAAGCTACAGGAGTAAAGACTGAACTCTAATCAGGCTGCTTTGTTCAAGTGCTCCTGTCAAAATCTGTTTGAGGGCAAGGGGCAGACTAAAGGCACAGGGTAGCAGTCTGCTCTCCAAAACATCCCCAGCCTCACATAAACATAGGTAAATCAAGATATGAGGGAAGCCCAGACTAACCTAGGTTAGTGGTTCTCAAAGCTGGTCTTATATTAGCATAATCAGTATCACCTAGTCCTTTGTTGGAAGTGCAAAATTTTTAATTTTTAAGCCTAGCCATCAAGTCAGACTCCTGTATTGGGGCTCAGAAGTATGTGTTTTAACAGGAACTCCAAATGGCTATGATACATGTTAAAGTTTGGGTCATGCTGTGTCAGAACTTCAGCATCAGAGTAAAGACATTTTCCTGTTCTCTGTCCCAAAAATGAGCAATGCAAAACTGATCACCAGTTAGTTAGAGGATTGAAAGAGAACACTGCTAAAGATTTCAGGGGTCCACTCAGATGACCCAGTCATTGGAAATACCCTCACCATCTTGCATGCTTGGTTTTGCCCTTACATTTACCTACAAACAAACCTGAACTTATCAGGACTGGCAGTCAGCCATCTGTGCATCTGTGTGTATTCTCTGAGCAGATTGGAGTCAATTTGCCTCTGAAATTGGAGTTGGAGATACAAAGTGTCTTTTTACATTTTGAAGTTTCACTGATGTTACACTTAGTCTGGAAGACTATTCATAAGAGTGAAGGTCAATGTCCTATCTAGGACAAATCTTCCATCACTTAGGGGAGGTTGAGTTTTTTGGATGTAAAGATGAGGATGACAACAGTAAACATTTCCATCTTTTTATTCAGCGTCAAGAACTGGAGTCAGAAAACAAAAAACTGAAAAATGAGCTGAATGAGTTACGCAAAGCCCTCAGTGAGAAAAGTGCCCCGGAAGTGACTGCACCGGGTGCTCCTGCCTACCGTGTCCTTATGGAACAGCTGACCTCCGTGAGCGAGGAGCTCGATGTCCGCAAGGAAGAAGTCCTCATCTTACGGTCTCAGCTGGTGAGCCAGAAAGAAGCCATCCAACCCAAGGTAAGCGTGCAGACATGTTGAGCATGAGATATGGTGACTGACCTCAAGAAAGAACTTGAGCATTAGAACTAGGAGTTCCTATCTCAGACACATATATTTATGTCTACCATATGATAGTTCTGTGAATGTTAATTCATTTAGTTTTAGAAGAAACGAGTCATAGCTTTTAAATGAACTCTTATCTGGATTCGGTGAAAGAATCTATTCATGGTGCTAAAGATTTATTGCTTTCTTCATTTTTTTTGTGCTTACCGTCATGTGATTTTTTCAGGATGACAAGGTAATTATGCATGTTTTTAATACTTAATAAGTACTTCTGTTGAATCCTAACATTGGCTTGCAGGTCTCCTCAGTACAGGTAGTTGGTGCTTTGTAACCAGGTCAATTTTATTTTGTTCTGGTTTTAAAGGTTTATTTATTTATTATCTGTGTTTATGTGGAAATGGATCCCAGCAGAGGGCATTGTGTGTCCTCCTCTATCATCCAGGTCCGTGTGATTGAGGATCAAGCCCTCTTAAATGCTGATACATCTCTCCATCATTTTTGCCATAGGATCTCATATAGCCCAAGTAGGCCTCATACTCACTGTATAGTTGAAGAGATCTTTGAACCCCTGGTCATCCTGCCTCCACCTCCTGAGTATTCTGAGTATAGGTGTAAACTGCCATGCCAAGCTTGGTAATTACTAATTTCCCATCTGACCTCTTCCTATGTGAAGTCCCTGGGAGAGCCTGTGATAATAGTATCCGATCTAGATGACAGAAGGAGCTCTGTGACTTGGAACTCGTAGTCTGCTCTGTGACTCACTGTTGCAGCTCCGGTATCATGCACAAGTTGGGAAAGAAAACCTTTCACTTCTCCCAGGCACTCATTTGCACCAAATCAAACAAGGTTGAGAAGGAATGAGAGAGCTGAGCATGTGTTCTTTGCTGCCACTCCCCCAATTCTCCTCCCTTTTGACCCATGGCTGGAATGAACAGGAACTCCTGAGAAGTTGATTTTCCCCGCTCATCTTGTTTTCAACTTGGAAATAAAGGGATGCTTCATCCCTTTCATCACTTCTAGTCACTGCATATGGGAAACACAGGACAGTGAGTCAGAACCTTCTCAAGCTGTAGTACAAATCTGACCCCATCTCCCAAATGCTACGTCTTAGCCAAGACAGGCAGAATAAAGAAAGAACCAGCTGCTTGTTTCCGGAACATGAGCAAAAGGCGATGACTGTCTCTCCCTGCCTTCAGACTAGCTGAATAGACCAAGTAACCTGATTTACTGGAAGTTCAAAAACACTCCAGAAAAGTCCTAAGATATTCTAGTATATCATTATTTGACATAAAAATGAGCCACTATGAATTATGTTTATTAGGTCTTAAAAAATAAGAATGGCCCTTTATGAAATAGGTTTTTTTCCTTTGAGGAAAAGAGAAAAAATAAATTAGCTGAACTACACTAAACATATATTCTTTATAAAAATACAGCTAAAGAAATGTTTACTTGGGGCCAGAAGTGTAGTTCAGCTATTGAAGTTCTTGCCTAGCTTACACAATGCCCTGGGTTTGAGCTGCAGCACCCCATAAATTGAATGAACCAATGAATGCATCAATGTACCAATGAAAGCGTGTTCATTGGTACATACCTATGATCCCAGCACTGAGGAAGATGAGGCAAGAAGACCAGAAGTTCAAGGTCGTCATCAGTACATAAAAACTTGAGGCCAGCCTGGGCATGAGCGAGCACACTTAGCTTAGAACAGACATTGATTGAAACAGACATTGATTGTTTCAGACAAAGAGAATGAACCTTTTGAGGTTACTTTTTAGAGGCAATTAATTAGTGCTTTTATGTAATGTTTTATGTAGTGTGTTTGTGTGTGTGCATGCACATACATGTGTCTATAGAGGCATACACATGAATGTCAGATGATAATTTGTGGAAGTAGATTCTTCCTACCATATGTGTGCTAGAGCTTGAACTCAGGTCATTAGCCTGGGTGGCAAGTACCCTTACCTCCTAAGTCCTGGTATGAAAAGAATATATTTTATATGATCCAGAAGAACTGAGTTGAGCCTTCATGTGGAAATGTGTTATTTCTTCCTTTAGAATACAATGACAGATTCCACAATACTTTTGGAAGATGTACAGAAAATGAAAGACAAAGGTGAAATAGCACAAGCATATATTGGTTTGAAAGAAACAAACAGGTAAGTTGATCCTTTCATCTCTCTTGGTTTAACTGTATTAGTCTGAGTCTTCAAGCCAGGCTCCTGTGCAGGAAGTCCATGTGCTGATTCATTGCTTCATTCATTCATTCTTCAAGAAGAACGTAAGGTTTCTGGCATAAACCAACTTAAAATCTCATTAATTACATCAGGTAATGGCTGATGATTGGTGTCAGAGAAAATGTTATTCATGTAATGGGGAGCTATGTTTATGTCAAGGGCCTTGGCCTTAAGCTGCCTGGAAAAGAAAATCCATTGCTTAGTTTGGACTGTCCTGAGTATATCCTTTCATAGCAAGGGTATTGTTCAATGGCCATTTAAAGGTTTCTAGAGGCAGCTACAGTGTTTAATAATTGAAACAAAGCATGAAGAAAAGAGAAGATATATGTGCTTAGAATTCCACCAGAGGTATCCAGGATGGGCGCCATACCTCCAAGGATGGGAATGGTGGCTTAGATCTACAGTGTTCAGCCATACTGCCAACCTCATTCTGAACAGAAACTTAGTGCCATTGGACTCTAAATAGAAAAAAAAAATTACACGCTGTACCATTTTGAGAGAGTGTGGCCAGTGGTGATCCGAAGAGAAAGACAGTTGAGGAGTCTCCTCGGAATATGGATAACCCAGTTCCAGGATTGACATACATGAATACCCACAGATTAAATATATATGCCTTATGAAACATGAGATAGTTCTTTATTTACAGGTGAAGGCACAGAATGTTCATAAAAGTATTTGGTTAAATATACATTTAATTTGTGAAGTTACTATAAGCTTTTATATTTAAGAATATCTTATTATAGAAAGAGTAATATTATGCTGTCTATGCATTTGCTCAGCTACTCAGTCACCAGGTCTGAAATGTGCCTACCCCATGTCAGACACTAAGCCACATTGTGTGAATACAGCAGAAGACCAGAAAGTGCAGTCCCTTCTCACAGAGGCTGTAGGCTCCTTGGTGAAGTGACTGACAATGTTTGAATTTCAGTCTAAAGATATTAGAAGGAATTGAAGTGTTTTAAGTAGAAGAATGATGTAGTGACACATTTAGAATGCTAGGCCTTGCTGTTATATTTGAGAACAAATTGTAATGGAACAATACTGAAAGCACAAAACCAGTTATGAAGCTTTGCCATAGTCCAGTGACTGATCATGGTGACTTGAGCTTGGTTGGTGACAGTTGGGATTAAAAGAAGTGGGGTGTTTTGAAATATATGAAGGAAAATGAGGTCAGTAAATTTTGTGGGTTTGGGGTGTGGGAGTGGGTCATAGGGAACCTTAGAGCCACTTTATGATGCCATTTTATGTTCGTGAGACACGGGTGGGTAGAAAGTGGACTTGCTGACTTAGCAGACAACAGGGCATCCAGGGAGAGAACTGTAGCTGCGCAGTGGCGTTATATGTAATAGATCGTAACCAGGATATGTGCACCAAGATACAAATTTTGAAGTCAAAAGAATATAAATAATACCAACAGAACCTCAAAAGTAGATAACTCTTTAGGGAGAGATGGTAGAATGAATATAGAAAATAAAATTCATATTATATAAACATAGCAACAAAAGCATATCAAGATTAAGAACCTGAACTCTGAAATCACGTGATGCTGGGCTCAAATGCTTCTTTCCTGTCTGTTAACTCGGCCTGGTGATGGGAGAACAGATAAGTTAGTGAAAGAATGAAGAACAGCATTTGGCGTTTAGCAAATCCTGAAAATGGATTGTCTATACCGTAGGTAGGAAACGTGTTGCCACTTTTTGTTGTCCACAGACTACACTATTTCAGTAAGAGACAATAGCTGCATCTCTAATACAAAGGCGGTTGCTCCAGATCTTAAACTTAATTTTACCCAAAAATTTGAAGTCGTGTCAAAAGCTGAGAACTTCGGATATACTTTATGTTATTTGTACATTAAATTTTTATGAAAGTTTACATGGAGAGTCAGATTTTACTATACCAAAATAAATTCCAAGCCTGAAAATAGATTATGGCAATTGCCACATGAAGATATACCTCGAGTTTTCACAGCGTACATTTGTTGTGGTTAGCCTCAATATAATGCTTGATATGTAAGGTCCTTTGGCTAGCCACATAAAACATTAAAAATTGAAAGTCTGTCTCACTTTCCAGTCATTTCTTCTCAGGAGAAAACGCCAGACCCTTCATTTATCTGTGATGCCACTTTTTTTTCCCCCACCCACTTTTTTTTTCCCCCACCAAAGTAATATTGTGGTAACGTAAAGTCATTTGTAATTACTAAAAATGGTCCTATTCACTTAGTAAAATACTGAACTAGCGTGTGCTTTTTTTTGACCACCATCATCTCATTTTCATCCTGTGTCCCTTTGTGTTTTGCATTGTGTTTCTTTACACGGAAGATCATCTACTATGGATTACCAGGAGTTGAATGAGGATGGAGAGCTCTGGCTGGTTTATGAAGGGTTAAAACAAGCCAACAGGTTATATGTGTCTCCTGAAAATGGAATGTTATTAACTTGTTTTCTTACTAACAGTGGGCTCACACTTTGACTCTGTGTCTTGTGCATTTATTGTCCTTCTGAGGCCATTAGCCTCAATAAAACTTAGATTTTGCAGCCATATACCTTCTTTAAAATCGTTTCTACTAACAGATGCTGTTAAGACTAAAACTGGTTATAGGAGAATACAAGTTGTTCCATGTAAGCCGTAGTGCTGTGGGGCGTGAATGTTTAAACATTGTGACTCTCTCTAGAACTTGAGGAAAACAGTCTTCCAGCTGAAGCACAAAGACGCTGGAGTGGGGGCACTGACACTTGTTGCCTGGACAGTGGCTTATTTGTCATAGATGTCAACCTGGGATACATGGTCCCGTAACAAATGTGGCCACTTCCTCATTACTGTCAGCAGTCTCTGTGGTTGCTGCAAGAGTCAAAGCCAAAGAAGTCAGGGTAACCGCTTGAGCTCAGCAGTTCACTTCCAGGAAAAAACAAAATAGAATTAGCTGTGTCTCTTTAACACATTCATCTGCCCTAGTGATGTCTGGGGCTTAAAAATCTCATAAAAATTTTCCATTTTAGTGATGATAGTTTTAAAATTCTTACACTTATGGGCTTCCGCTTATTCTGCTTTGTTCTAACCATAACCGTTGGCATTAACTGCGGTGTTGTTGGTTAACTCCATCTTAAAACTTCGTAATAGCTAAAATAGTTTACTCTGCTGTTAATAGTTTGCTCACAACAGTAAAATAAGTTTTGCTCAGCAGTTAATATCATGAAATTAATATTAAGTGTCTTCTTCATGTTAGTTGATTCTTGACTATAACTTTATATTTTCTTAGGATTCTCTTACTGATAGTAATTTTACACACACACACACATACACACACACACAGAGAGAGAGAGAGAGAAAGAGGGAGAGAGAGAGAGAACTACCAGACTGGGTTTGGGTAAATCTATAGGTTTCCAAGTTGTGCACCAGCCTTTCTGTCCTTAGATAAGTGGACAATATTAAAAACATGATCCTGGCTCCACCTTTGCCTGAAATCAGTGACTTTAGAGTTTTTTTTTTTTTTTAATAGATTGGGAGTGTGTAATTTTGCACTTCATAATGCAGCTATTTATGTATGTATGTATTTATTGGCAGTAGGGCTATTTTTGCCAATAAAAGAGAACTTCAAACAATTCAAAAACATACAAATGTAGACACATCAGTTTCCATATCTAGTATCTGAGTTTCATGACATTATTGGGGTGAGGAGATGCACAGATGCTAAAGAGTATCTGCTTTTCCTATCTTGCAAAGGAGCAGGTAGCTTGGCACCCATTCGTGTGAACTCATCTACCCTACAAACCTGTCTGGCCTCTCTACAGGCTCTTGGAATCCCAGCTACAGTCGCAAAAGAGGAGCCATGAGAATGAGGCTGAGGCCCTCCGAGGGGAGATCCAGAGCCTGAAGGAAGAAAATAACCGGCAACAGCAGCTGCTGGCCCAGAACCTGCAGCTGCCCCCGGAGGCCCGCATTGAGGCCAGCCTGCAGCATGAGATCACCCGGCTGACCAATGAAAACTTGGTAAGGAGAGGGGCAGTGCCCAAGTCTGCTATATGTTCCTTTTGGACAGACACAGCTTTTCCTTTTTGGGAAAGACATTCTTCTGTTCCTGATAGAGGCAGAAAGGAAAATACGAATGTGTTGGTAGAAGTGAATCAGAATAATGAAACTGCACCTGAGCTGTTTCTCACTGCAGTCTCTTAGACCAATCGAGCCTTCTCAGACCTCACTTGGAGTGTCTGGAAGAGAGTCACCTGAGCACCTGCTGGCTTTGAATGCCAGGGAGACACAGCTCCAGATTGTTTTCCTCTGATTCCCAAGCATCCAAGCAGGATGCCAGTCAGCTTGTCTAGTAGACAAAGCAGGGAAGGTTCTTGGTTGAACCAAGAAGGAGCTATGGCTGACACTGGGTAGAGCTTCCAAACAAGGGTGGAGAGACTAGAATTGAGCTTAGCGCCTTCTCATCGTTTAAGCAGAACCTGATTACATATTGGCAATTTTTAAATCTATGTAAATTTTCTAGATAAACTTCCTGCATAAAAATTCAGTGAAAGATTATAATTATACATTTTTACATAAAATCTGTTCTTTAGTGACAGATGAAAATTAATATCTTTTAAGATCTATAATAAAAGTGTTGAACTTCCCTGACGGTCTAATCCCATTAGAGAGAGCTGACAACACAGATAGCTCTGTGCCACCATATGTTCACCCACATCTTACCTAGGTTAGGAGAAAGTCCCACAGTGTTTTCAGTCAGTCTTAACGTGTAAAGTCCCAAAGTAGGAGTATGGGGAAGAAGGCAAGGATGGTGTTTGACTCTTTCAGGGTAATTCAACCGTAATTTTACTTGATAGAAAAGTTTTCTGAGTTAGAGAATGTTTTTTAAAATTTGTGTTTTACTCTATTTGCTGATGTAACTAACAATGCTTTTGATGATTAAGAATTGATAAATGTGTGGGATAATATTGATTGATCGATGTACAGATTCTTTGCTTCTGAATGATTGTCTTAAAATGCTCGGTGATCTGAAATGGATTTGTTTCTGGGTGGTGGATTCTCAGTTTGTTCGCTAAGTTAATCAGGTGTTGTCCTCACAGTCTGTCTGTATTATTAATACTCTTGGCAAATTTTGTACCTAGCACAGAAATGAACAAGCCCTATACCCTACCTGGAAGACTAATTAGTTTGTTTTGCAGATCAGCTGCTTGTACCATTCAATACACTGGCTGCTAATTTGAAGGGTCTTACCAAACTCAAGTGTAAAAAAGAGTATTGCTCCTCAGGCTACTTGGAGTTTCTCACTCTTAATTATGCATTTTTTGGATGCACTCGAGCACAATATTAAGGCAACAGTATGTCTGGGCTTCGTGCTTCTGACGTTTTGCCCTGCATACACACACACACACACACACACACACACACACACACACACACACACACACGTGCTCACCAGCTCCACTGGTTCCAAATGAGAGTGTGGTGCTAACAGCACTCCTGCCTTTTTACTTTGTTGCCTTCCTTGGCCTTGCTGCTCTGCTAGTAGCTAAACAGTACAGCAGCTTGGGAGGGTCACACATGAGAAAGGAGTAAAGGTCTAGGAACTAAATGTCAGTCTTCTCTGGTCACCATGGTTCCCTGCTCTATTGATCTTCTGGGTGACAACATCCTGGCCATCAATTGCTTCTATTGTTCATGGAAAATAGAGGCTCATCTATCCTAGAAAAAGAACATGATAATGGCAGCTGACAGATCAGAGCCAGTGAGTAAATATAGTTTTTACCTGTGTTTTAAAGTATCTTTAAGTTAATTTTGCTGAGAGTTAGCTTTCCCTCAAAGACAGAAGAAACAAATATCCATTGTACCTGTTTTTTCAGTATTTTGAGGAATTATATGCAGATGACCCTAAGAAGTATCAATCATATCGGATTTCACTTTACAAAAGGATGATTGTATGTAAACCACAATGCTTTTCCGTTGTCTTCTGCTACTTCTAGCCTTCTCTAACTGAAGAGCACACTGCTGCCTGCCACTGCCCCGGAGGTCTCTTCAAAAATCTTCACAAAATCTCTTTCCCCAACCCCCACAGCTATCTTTAGCCAGTGTGTCATCCCTTTTGGTGTCCTGTGTCCACTGTGCGTTTGGTTTGTTGTTAACCCAGGGCTTACAGTGTGATGGAAGCAACATGTTTCAAAAGATCAAGTAAAATCCAGGAAGCATACCCCCAGCACTGAAAATGTTGGCAGCTGTTTCCTTTGAATCACTAGTATGAATCCTGTGCAAGCTAAAATGAATCAGTGTTTTTGAATGCTGTTCTTCTCTAAATTAGTGACAGCCACTGGCCAGCTTCGCTGACTCATGTCCCTTTCTAAGCTGGTCCTGTCCACTTCCCTCTTGGTTGCTGAGTTTCTAACTGCCTGTCCTTTGTGAGAGAATTCTTTCACTAAATAAGGCCAATAGTCACAGATGTCTTACCTTCCTACACAGGTTTTCTTTCTCTCTCACTTTTTGCACTCAAAGTTAATCTTTTTAAATATATATTGACTGCAAGATTTTGTGGGCATCTTATACTACCTGGCATCTGGGTCCTGTGTCACCAGAAAGCTCCCCCACCCCCACCCACGCTGAGACAGGCTCTCACTACATTACCCACGCTGGCCTTGAACACAGAGATCCACCCACTATTGCCTCCCTGCGCTGGAATTAAAGGTGTGTGCCACAACACCTGACTCACCTTACTTTTAATTTCCTCTAACTTCTTCTTGTTTCTTAAGCTTTAAGGCTAAGTGTAGAATTGGTAAAGCTTAACAGCACTTTACTCACGGAGTGTCAGTCTTTTCCTAAGTGCCACCATCCTCAAATCCCCCATGGAATTTTTACACACTCGTCAAAACTCATCTTTGCCCGTTATATAGTGACAGTGCTGAGTTGTTTCCTGTAGGCCTGCTGGGAGGCTTCCATCACGCTGTAAAGGACGCTGCCGCACTGTGTGTTTTAGCATTGCCCTCACTGTAGCTGCAGCTCCGTTGTCTGCCAGGTTGAGCCGAGCGGTGCTTCCACCAGTGAGCTCTTCTGCAGCTTCTATGTAGAACTAACAGTGCTGTGCCATGATTCCACCGTGCTGTCTCCGTGCCTGTGCCGAGCCTGTTCGATCTTTCTGACAGAATTCTCATTTTGATCTTAGGATCTGATGGAACAACTTGAAAAGCAGGATAAAACTGTCCGGAAACTGAAGAAACAACTGAAAGTCTTTGCCAAGAAAATTGGTGAACTAGAAGGTACTTAAACACGTCTTTACAACATCTGCACTTTTTATCTCCTGTTGCTAGTGACATGATGGAGGTTTGCAGGTGACTTTCTGGAGAAAATACCAAAATTATTTTGACAGTCCTGACCTCTGCAGAGTGGAAATTTCAGCTTCTGTATGTGGGGATGATTTTCATAGTAATATAACAGAAAGTTAGGAAGGGAGAAAAATCCATTCAGCAAACAAATATTTGCGACAGGCCAGAGACTGCCATAGTCAGTACAGCATGTGCTTCAGAGCAAGGATCTTAGAGCCAGCTTCCTGGATTCAAGTTGTGTCTCTTCCACTTTCTAGTCTCAGAATATTTGCAAATTGCTGCGCCTCTCTTTGCCTTCTTTCCCCACATTCTCACTAGGAATGATCTATGGTATCTATCAAACATGGTCTGTAAGAACTGAATGAGTTCATGTGGGTGATACATCTAGAATAGTAATAGTAAATGCTACACACAACCTGCTTCTTATTCCTAACGATGTGAAAAGGAATGTGTTAGAGCACTCTCACATACCTCATCTAATAATGAGAAAAGTTAATCACACAATAGGAATTATAAAGAATTACAATTCAAAAATATAATTATTTCTGTATGAAATAGGTAAGTTCCTTAAGGAAAAAAAAAAACAATGTAAACATACTAATCTTGTCTTGTAGGTTAGCTTGTTCATTCGGCAAGTTTTATTGAATGTTTCCTAGGTGCCAGACACAGTTGCAAGTGCTTGAGATCTAGCTGTGAGTTCTTACTCACAAGGCACATGCTAAGTGCATTCCAGCAACCCTATCACTTCTCAAGGCATTTTGGAGACAGAATTTCAGAGATGGACGTCTCTTTAAATCTTTGCAAGCTCTTACCATTTTGACCTCAGATGACATGCTCGTCCTGGCTGTCTATCGTATTCTCTAGCTGTCGTCTTTAATCTCACGTGGCACAAGTGTAGAAAGTCCCTGCCTCTTGAGATACTCAGGGGACTCGGTGCCAGTGAACTCTGTGTTTGCTTTTCCTCACTCCATCACACCACCTCGAACTGCTCTTCTGCTTGACTGGCAGAGTCCGGGCAAGCCCTGCTCATTCTGTGGGACCAGAGGCACATGTCATACCCTCAGAAGTGTCCTGACCACACCACTGACCTCATGACCCTGCCTTCTATGGTTTTTCACTGTCATATTTTTAGCAGTTTTTCTGTTTGTTTACTGATTTCTATTCTAGACCAAGAGCTTTCTGAACATGGAAATCACTTCTTATTTCTCACAGTTACAACAATGAGCATGGAGTCTGGCCTTTGGTAATCCTGTAAATATTTTTAACTGAATAAGTTTTTAAAATATTTAGAGCATAGTACCATGGATGCTAACTTCAAAGAGGGTATTGTTACTCTTCAATATGCAAATATTGAAATGTATAAATGTTAGGAAGATTACTTCATAGCCATATATTTTGTATAGGCCCTTAGCACTACATGATTTATGTATCACATTAAAGCCTTTGAAACTCTAGGGGCTGGAGAGATGCCTCTGCATGTCAAACACTTGCACAAAGCTTTGAGGACTGTCTCCCAAAAGCCTGAATGAAAAGTTGTCAGGCGTAGCAGCTGCATGCAGTTCTAGTTTTAAAAAGACAAAGACAGAGGCTCCTCCAGAAAAACCTGGCTAGCTAGACGAGCTGAAACAGCAAACTTGGAGGGCAGGGAAAGGCCTTCCCTCAATAAGTCAGGTAAAGATAACCTCAAGCCTTGATATACACACACGTGCATACATACACGCATGAGCACACATACATATACCAAACACACAAATGCAAGAAAAAATATTTTAAAACTCCAGGTCTATACACATGAGCTGTAATATTTATTGGCAGTACTTAAAAATCTAAGTTCTTTTTTTCAGAGTACTTTCTACACTGAATGGGATACCATGATAAGACAGCGGAGTATTTGCTTTTAAAATCCTGTGTTAAGGGTATAACCTGTGAGGTTGTTAAACTAAAGGCTCTTTACCAACATTAGAGAATGTGAATAAATATAAAAGTCATTTTTATTTTACACTTTAATTCAATTTTCTTAAAAATATGTTTTTACCAGTGAGCTACACTCCCAACCTTTGAAATGTAATTGAAGAGAGAAGTTAAAATATTTCAGGATGGTATTCATTTTTGGCCATTATCAATTAGAAATCAAACTTTTCTGTTAAACTATCCTGATAGCCAAGCAAAATAACATCTGTGGTAGTAAATCATGGATTAAATAAGAAAAAGACACATTTGTTCTTAAGAAAGTTTATATTTTGAGTTAAATTATTTGCATCTAGATGATAAAATGAAATAAGCTCATGTGCCTAGGGCACCTGCCAACACGTTGTGCCGCCCCCTTCCAAAGTAGTGAATAAGCGTGGTGAGCTCTTCCAACACTTCTCCCTTCCTCTCCACATCTGTGCTCTACAGAAAAAAGACCAGCGCCTTCTAATGAAAGTTTACTTATGTCTATTTGTTTTTTTTTTCTTTAAATGTGTTAAAACATGTTTAAGCCCTTTTTCCTTAAAGACTCTTGCCTCTCCTATGGGCTATAATTAATTAAGGACACTTTTTTAAAAACAAACTTTTTAAAAGAAAAAATGCCAACATGTATAATTTTTAGCAGAAATTGCACCACTAAGTAGAGAGTCTTTCAAAGTCTGGCCCGCACAGTGCTCGATTTAAACCAGGAGTGGGTGTTATGTCTCAGTTTTCTTTTTAAAAAAAAAATCAGACCTGAAAGTATTCTAGGAGCCAGTAACTTTACTGATAGAAGAAAAACAAAAACCCAGAAACTATAAGTGACTTCCTCAACACCCTGCTTGTTAGATAGCAGGTCTAGATTCTCTGCCTTCTGGTTTCTCTGCTTTAGATTAGATTTTCCAGAATTTTTTTACTTGTAAGAAATTGTCTGAAAACTGGTTAAACCTGAGATTAAGATCTTTGTGGTACTTTGGAGAGAAAAGGCAAATTTTTAGAGACTCTTCTGCTTTTCTTTTCATTTTCCTTTTGAGTTTGTAAGACTCTAGAAAGGAAAGTAGACATTGCTGCAAGTTAAAAGGATCCTGTGTTAGCACCTGGCCGGACAACTGCTGACTTAGTCTGTGTGCTGCTCAGGCTGTGTGGTTTATAAGCAGTGCAAATATATTTCTCACATAAAGTTATTTCTCAAAGGGATAGAAGTTTACGAAGGTGGCTTCTTGTTCAGTGTCTGGTGAAGGCCGGGTTGTTGCTTCCCAGATGCTATCTTGTTGCCTAGGCCTCCAAAGGAGACATCGTCTGTCCTCACATGGCTAAAGTAATCAGAAGAAAGGCATTAACCTTAAGAGGCCTTTATAAACCTGATTTTAGGCATTTTCACATTAATCCTTGTTAATAAATATTATTATACAGCTATCTTGATGTGGTTTGAACTCAAGATAATGATAAATTTTAAATAAATGCCCTTTTGCTCTTAGTAACTAAATATTGGATTCTTGGCACTAACTTCTGTTGCTCCGGGAGGTTTGTTTGCTTACTCTTGAAACAGGGTCTCATGTAGCTGAGGCTGACTTCAAACTGGCTATATAACTGAGGATGACCATGTGTGCTTCATCTGCCTAACTCTGCTTCCCAAGTGCTGGGATTATAGGCATGCTTTTCCATTTTCACCTGTTTTTCCATTCTTCTAGCAAAAGTCTAAATATGTTTAACCACTTTTGGTTGTAAAGATTTGTTAGCACATATGCTAAATTGCATACGTTAGGGACTTTCCTGTGGATACTTGCAAAGTAAATCTGACACAAGACAAATGGAAGACCTTGCCAGCTTCTAGGTAGCTTTTTGTTATTACTACCTATATACTAGGCTCTGTGGCTGTCAGAGTAAAATTTCCCTTTATTGTCTCTATTTACCCAGTCTCAGCAGAGAAGATTATTTCAAGAGGGAGGGACAACCAAATGGCAGAGATGAGGAGCTTCATCTCTTGCAGAGTCCACCCTCTGTTGCAAGAGCATGGAGCCCTGTCAGCTTTTCCACCTGGCAAACATTTCTCTCCTTTTTTGTTCCTCCTGCAGTGGGTCAGATGGAGAACATATCTCCAGGACAGATCATTGATGAGCCCATCCGGCCAGTCAACATTCCCCGGAAAGAAAAGGATTTCCAAGGAATGCTGGAGTACAAAAGGGAGGATGAGCAGAAGCTTGTTAAGAACCTGATTCTAGGCAAGTGCTTTCTACGTGGCTGAGGTTCCTTCCAGCCAGGGCTGTGCTGAAAAGGCTAGTCACTAGGGCTTGAAGTTTGGTTTAATATTCTTTAAAATGATTTTCTTCATTGGCAAGATGGCTCAGTGGGTAATGGTGCACGCTGCCAAGCCTGACGATCTGAGTTTGGTTCCTGGGACCCTATGGTGGAAGGAGAACACAGAGTCCTGCAAGTTGTTCTTTGTTGTCCGCAAAAATACCATGTCACAGGTCCTCACACAGCACACACAAAGCAAATAAATGGTAAAAAAAAAAAAAAAATTAAGTTCTAATACTGCTTTTTTGAGAGAGTGTTCCTATTATGTTGTCCAAGCTTGTCGTAAGGTCTTGGGAGTTACCATCCAGCTTCAGCTTCTCAGCATCAAAGGCCATAGACATGAGCCCAGCTCTGAAGTGTCATGAGTCATCATTTCATACTGCACTATCATGCTGTGGTAGAAGCCTTCCTGAGCATTCATTATCAAGGTGGGAGAAAATCTGGATCCATCTGGAAGGCTACCTTGAAGCCAAGCCTCTCAGCTCTGGCTTCATGTTAGGATCACAAAGGAAAATTTTTGGTTTTGAGACGAGATCTCATTTTATATAGCCCAGGCCAGCCTAGGACTTGATAGTAGCGAAAGCTAGACTATAATTCACAGTCCTCCAGTCTCTGCCTCCCATGTGCTAAGGCTTATGTATGCTTCCACTAAGAACAATATGAGAGGGTTGTGTTTGGGGGAAGGGAGTCAGGGATCAACCCTGGAGCCACATGAATAGTAGACAGATACTGAGCCATATCCTCAGCCCACTCAGGAAACTGTTAAAAAGTGTTGAGAGCCCCCTACCCCAAATGAAGTAAATTGAAATTTTCAGGGAAAAGAGCTTGACCAAGTCTAGAACTATTCTGGAAATGTCTCAAGGATTCCCAGTTGTAACCACAATTGGATGCCACTGTTGTAAGCCATTTAGGTTTTTGAATTTCCATTTTCATTCCCTAGAAATGATCATGACTAACCGTGTTTCGGAAAATACTTGAATAATGTGGAAGAAAAGATAATTAAGAAAAAACTCCAGCAAAATTATGGAAAAGATGGGACAGTTGAAAAGGGAATGAAAGAGGCATTCAGAGGGCCATAAGGCTTCGAATATGAGCCCCTAAGCAGTAGTAAACTAAAACCTTCAGCCTTTGCCACTCTCTTCCCCCAGCTACCACGGTGATAGCAATGGGATTGATAATTGCACCTAATTTAACATCCCTCGGCCTCATGGCGTTCAGCTTAGTACTGTATATAGGTTCAGAGATGCTTTGTTTTCAACATGATACTCACTTAGCAAAAAGGTTTTAGGGGCTGGTGGCTTAAAGGGTGAAAAGGATAGAGAGTAAAGACTGTGTGTAGTTTTATATAAAACTGTCTGGAAACACTCCTTGATGGGCTGTACTATGCACAGTGGCCAGAGAAAATAGGGAACAGGTTGTGCTTGTACCTGAAGAAAGAACATCAGAAGCAGAAAAGGTGTAAGGACAAGGGCCCTAGGGGGGAGCTGCGGCATGTTTAGCAAACAGCAAGGAGGTGTTTGGAGCAGAGTGAGCTGAGCCCAAGAAAGAGCAGGCTAGACGATGTGGAGCACAGTTCAGGTTTGGAATTTTATAGTGAGTGAAGAAGCTCTGTGGAGAATTCTCAGAACAAAATCGGCATGACCTAATGTGAATTTAAGCATTTCATTAAGTAAATAGCTGTAGATATTTAATATTATCTGGGACTAGGAGGTGGATCTGAGACACTCAGGTTAGATCCTGGCTGTTTTTCGCAGGGAGCACTAACAGGATGATAAGTGGGGTACATGGTGTGAGAAAAGTAAGGAATTTAAAAATGGTGAGGTTTATAACCTGAGAAACTGAAGGTGGAGAGGTCCATTCTAGAGCAGAGGGCGTCAGAATGCAGAACTGGACTTGGGAGAGGCTTGGTTTGATGTGCCTGAGCAGAGACGTCAGGAAGACAGTTCATAAACAAGACGGGATGGGACTTCAAGGGAAAAGTCAGGGCAGGATGTATACATTTTATATAGACATGTGCCCATAGTCAAAAATTTCACTAATGAGCTGTTCAAGCAGTGCCTTTATGACTTGTCCCGAATGACTGAGATCTTACACAACTGTACTTTCACCTCTCACAAAACACGCCTCACAAAGACTTTCAGGGTTGCATAATTCTGTTTTTCCTTTTTTCTTTGTTCAGAACTGAAGCCACGTGGTGTGGCTGTCAATCTGATTCCAGGGTTACCAGCATATATCTTGTTTATGTGTGTGCGACATGCCGACTACCTGAACGATGATCAGAAAGTGAGGTCATTGCTGACATCAACAATTAACAGCATCAAAAAAGTCTTGAAGGTCAGTTCCACATCTTGCAGTTCTCACAGTTGTTAATGACAGGCTGTGCAGAGGTCCTGTGTCTTCTTCAGACTTGGCACAGTTGCTTTTTGTAAACCCTTTCAGTGTTCCCTGCAAGCTCCTGTTGTAAGAACAGTCTGTGCAACCCTCCACATCAGCTGCGTTCTCATCACTGTGGTCAAACACCTAGCAGAAGCACTTAAAGAAGGAAGGATGGCTTTGAGGGGCTCAGGGTGTTAGGAGGTATAAGCCCATCTCAGAGGAGCCTTAAGCAAAGGCGAACTCAGAAATGGGGCTGGACTATAAACCTCAAGACCTGCCCTTTCCTCCAGCCAAGCCTTATCTCCTAAGGATTCCACAACCTCTCAAAGGCACCACCAGCTGGGGGCCTGTGGTAAACATAGCACTGTATGTTCAGAACAGATTCAGCTTAGACAGTAATCAAAATGAATTTGATATTATTGGATCAAATTGAGTAGCAAAGTAATTCTTTACAGACAAAAATAGCCCAATTTAGGATTTGTTGGGACCAAACTTAAATGTTTAGAAGACAAGCATGGTGGCATATATTTGAAGATCCTGGTAAATTCAAAGGCTAGCCTGCCTTACAAAGCAAATTCTAGTACAGGCAGGTCTACACAGTGAAACCCTCAATAGATTAATTGTTTAGTGGAAATAAATTATACACATGCATATTCATATATGGTCCATACATGTAGAATATGATGCTGATGTTAAGATAAATGTCAAGTTCAGTAATTTCTTATAAAAATATGACTAACATGGCATTAAATTTCTTTCAAGTTTTGTTCCCCTTATTCTCCAATTCATCCCACAAATTATCTTGTTACCTAAAATCCCTGCTTCCACGTGCAAACAACATGAAGATTCTTATCAGAGATGAGAGCCATCACTGGGAAAGACAGAGGAGAAGCCATTACCTTATATAGTCTTCATAATGCTAAGGCAGTATGGTTCTCAATCTGTGGGTTCTGACCCCATTGGGGTTCGCATATAAGGTATCTTGCATATCAGATGCAAAATTACAGTTATGAAGTAGCAACAAAATAACTTTATGGTTGGGGGTCAGCACAGCATGGGGAGCTGTATTAAAGGGTCGCAGCGTGAGGAAGGTGGAGAACCACTGCTCTACATCTAACTTTCAGCTCAGGGGTTCTACTAAGATGTGTTCCAGGCACCTTGTCTTCTGATTATTCAACTTAACAGTGCATCTAGGATGAAGACCCAGTAGCTCTCTTGCTTCTAAACGGGCTTTAAATTCTTTACTGTAAAATCCCTCCCCTCAGGGCTCAGGGTACCCTGCAGAAGAATCAGATAGCGTATAAAAGCCAGAGGGGGTGGAGGAAACCAAGAAAACAAGGCCCTCTAATTCAATGTGATCAAAGTTCATATGAACTCACCGAGACCGAGGCAGCATGCACAGGGCCTGCACGGGTCTTACAGGTCATCTGCGTATATATTATAGCTTCCAGTTTAGTGTTTTTGTGGGAGTCCTGAGTGCTTGAATGAGTGAGTCTTTGTTTCTCGCATCTTCTCTTAGGCTCTTTTCCATCTGTCTGTCTGTCTGTGTGTTTTGTCCAATTCCAATGTGCTAGTTAGGTTTTTTTTTTTTTATCTTATTTTATTATTATCTCTTAGAAGTCTGTTTTTTACTGAGAGACAGAAAAGGACGGGATCTGGATGGGAGGGAAGGTAGGGAGGAACGAGGAGGAGTAGGGGGAAGAAGGCATAATCAGGATATATTATGTGAGAATAAACACTATTTTCAATAAAAAGAACCACAAAATGTTGTAAAATATGCACAACATAAACTTTGACATCTTACTCTTCCTAGGTGCTAACATACACTGTACAGCCATTACCACAGTCCCTCTGCGGCTGTCTCATCCTCCCTCCTAGCTGCCATTACACACCACTCTCCCTGCCTTCTGCTGCAAGCCTCTGTGACTCAAACAAGTGCTGCATCTCCATTTCTGTTGCAGAGTTGTTCTCTGTCCTTCTGATCCACAGTGATTTCCTCTTTTAAAATTCATGGGTGTTTTCTTAATTTTGGACATATTGATGCTAAATAGACTATGTGTTTACTATTTCTTAAGTCAGCTCCTATACAGATTTTAAACTTTTCCCCCC